GTAGTATGTTATCGAAAGCGTGTCGTGTCGTACTTGCCAAGTGTGCGTTTTAAAGTGAAGACTTGCAAGCATTCGTAAATGTGCGTAGCTACTGCCATGAAACGGGAAAAGTTGGTAAATTTATTAACGTTCATTCTGTGCACCTAAACGTAACAGGTTTATCCACAAGAATCTCCGAATGGCTTTACAGACGTCGCATACCCCTGTCAGTCTTTTATCGACGCCATAGTGTCATGACTTCATCCTTCTCTCACTTGTTATGCAGGTGTTGGGGTGCTGCTGCACCTACATCGTCGTGCTGCTGCAGTTCGACGCTGAATTGGAGGTGTAGTCAGACCCACCAGGCAGCGACGGAAAGAATAGTTATTTGGAGCATTAAAACGCAGTGATTAAAGTAGTAGAAACTATGCAGGTCATGCAAAGATGGAAACGTGAAAATTGTGGTTAAGTGTGTACTTAGTAGACAGTTAGGTTTGTAGTGTAGAGATGTAGCTTTTGCCTTTTTGATAGTATTAAAATTTCGTGAAGCGGCTGCAGCCAAACGGCTTGCCCTCCTCCGTTAGCGATTTGGAACTATCATGTGCAACTGATTATCTTTAGGTTTTGAGCTGTCTTCACATAACACCAGTGAAAAACAAAGAGTCCGGAAGTACCCCCACTCTCTCTTACTTGCACTCTCTGAAAAGCCTACGAAGCATTCGTAACTACAAAGAAAATGAAGGCATTGTAAAATTGCTTCGTATTACGAAGGATTTTGCTTCGTAATACAGGACAATTTGCTTCGTAATACGAAGCGTTTCGCATTTCTTCGTAGATTTTACAATGCCTTCATTTTCTTCGTATCATAAAGCGGTTCTTCGTATAGTTCTTACTGGGCGCGCAATTAGGCACGAGATCTTTTGGATACCTTGATTCATATTTTGGTCTGAACACGAATCATTGCGTTCTCCGAATCATGCGTGCACGAGACTACCGATTTTTCGCGCCCTCGCCGTGCGCACTGATTGCATCCAATCGGAAATGATGGTTGAATGTAACTCCCGCGCGCGCTCGCCTCCGCGCCGAGACTTCCCCACCCCCGGCCTCCCTCGAGCCAGCGGCAACGCGACCCGACACCGCCACAGCTCTACACTACACTACACACCGCAAGGCAGTGCGTCCTTGGCGGCCGTCCTCGAAGGGTGCTGCTGCGTCCCAGAGCCTCGAGTCCCGCTCTCTCGCTCGTTGGCTCGCGCGTCGGTCGACCCTTGTTGACACTCGCGCGTCCTGCTGGTGAATCAGCCGTGCGTTTCGCGTCGCGGCTCCGTGAGAGAAGTTTGTGTTCGGGCTGCGTCGGGTCGAGGGGTACCGGCTGACTCAATACAGGTAAGAACCACCGCACCAATACGCTCTCTTCCCTCAATCTACATTTCATCTATGTTGAATGACGTTTTTGTGCATTAATTGAATGGAAGCTTCACGGACTGCTCAAGATGAGGGGGAAATCACTCTTAAGACCTGCGACCCGACTATAACGTCTATTACGCCTCAAAATTTAAGGGATTAAGCTGAAAACAGAGAAAAGAAACCCTAAATTAGATCAAATTTGGAGAATTTCGGCTATTACGCTACTATTAAGTTACGCACACTATTACGCGTAATATTACGGACAGAGTGACCCGACTATTACGCGAGTGCTTTCCCCCTCGCTCAAGACGAAATTGACAACAATGTATCTAAAAGAAAGAATAATGTTAATACGCTTGTTAATGCGCACTATCGTCAATACGCTAGTAAACAAAAACTTTGTGCCAATCAGAGTGTAACAGTGGATCCCAAATCGACCTGAGGGGTAAACTCTTGCACGTTGCCACCATTTCATGCGGCTCCGGGTCGTATCTTTGCAGACCATCGGGGTGCATAGTGGGCCAGAACACCGGCGGAAATTCTAGACTCGTTTTGAGTTCCATGAGTCGTTAATCAGGACTGGAACCGAACGTGCGACCCCATCAATGGATTGCTCTCCGAACGAGAACTCCATTGATACACTGATATTTCTAATATGATAAGTTTCATAGCTGCGATAAGGAGGATAATGCGGTGATTGTGTGATAAATTGATAACTACGCAAGGAAAGTGATAAATACGCTAATTCAATACAATATTTAACGCACTTAGGTATAACTTTTTCATGGCGCTAATAATGCAATAAAAATGTTATTGCTTCTGAAGTGAGTTCGTTTTTACACTTAAAATACCAGTGAAAGGTGACACATTTGGTTTGAGTCCTGTTAGCGACTCTGCGGCTCCAAACGCGTCTAGAGTTTTGGCCACCTCTCTTCTGGCCCACTGGGCCAGTTCTCTCGATTTTGTCCTTTTGTCGAGTTTGTCATTTGCTGGACAGCAGAAAGCTAAAGGTTGCGGACCGGAGACGACTAGAATCTGCACCGGCTGGCACAGCTCATTGCTATTCAGAGGCAAGGTAGGGTTGACACGAAGTGGCAGTGGTGATAACTGTCTCTTGTGAGTCAAAAGCAACTGAAAAGTAACCTCCGCCTTTTTCAAATGAGCTGTAACTTGTCTCAACCTGAACACCTCCCCTTTCTCCTTCCGGCGCGGTGAGGCCCTCTCCTCTCCCCTCTGTCCGGATCGGATGGTCCTGAAGGCGCACTTCTCATATCTGTCACCTCCCGCATCGCCCTGGGGCAAGCCGGGCTAGCGCATTCTGAGGCGTCAAATTGCACCGCCGCGCCGCCAGCTGAGCGCGCGTGCGAGAGAGTAGGAGCGTTGCCGAGAGCCGAGTCGTGCCCCACGCTAGTAATCGTGTGCGCACCTACACTCCAAATCCAGGGGGTCTAGAAACTATACGCCTTAGGCGTATGCCACAGAAATGGAACTGCCTTAAGGCGCCTTGATTCTACACGCCAAAGGCGTATACCCCATTGAGCACCTTTTGCAGATAGAAGTTAGCATGTGAACACCATTGGTCGAAGGAAAGGTGCGTGCATTGTACACACCCTGGATCATAGGCACTGAGCTCAACAGGACTCTAGGTGCGTTGAATGCAAACACCGCCCTTGGCCGAGGCCATGCCTACCGAGGCCTTAAGGGGGCTCATACATGTTAAAAGCACTTTTTTTAAAAAAAAATTTGATGTAGACGGATTAAGATTTTACAATTTCTGTGTTAAAATCCTTTTAGATAATTGAGTAAGCTTCATTTTGGCTTAAGGGAAAGTGACTTTGGACATTTTTTGGAGATTTAGTCGAAACGTTTAAAATTTTGCTTCTCTTAAGATTTTGTTCGCATACTTGCTCAGATCTGTGGGGAAAAAATCAGGGAGACTCATCCCCAGTAGTGTCATAGAATTGACTAGAATGGGCTTTATATCTGCAATAGTTTTCAAGAAAAAAAATAAAAACAATTTTTTGTTGAAAAATTTGTTTAAAAAATTGTTAAAAAAATTGTTTTTATTTTTTTTCTTGAAAACTATTGCAGATATAAAGCCCATTCTAGTCAATTCTATGACACTACTGGGGATGAGTCTCCCTGATTTTTTCCCCACAGATCTGAGCAAGTATGCGAACAAAATCTTACGAGAAGCAAAATTTTAAATGTTTCGACTAAATCTCCAAAAAATGTCCAAAGTCACTTTCCTTTAAGCCAAAATGAAGCTTACTCAATTATCTAAAAGGATTTTAACACAGAAATTGTAAAATCTTAATCCGTCTACATCAAATTTTTTTTTTAAAAAGTGCTTTTAACATGTATGAGCCCCCTTAAAGGGTGTTTACATTCTACGCACCTTGAGTCCTGTTGAGCTCAGTGCCTATGATCCAGGGTGTGTACAATGCACGCACCTTTCCTTCGACCAATGGTGCTCACATGCTAACTTCTATCTGCAAAAGGTGCTCAATGGGGTATACGCCTTTGGCGTGTAGAATCAAGGCGCCTTAAGGCAGTTCCATTTCTGTGGCATACGCCTAGGGCGTATAGTTTCTAGACACCCTGGATTTGGAGTGTAGTCCACACACTAAATGTCTGTGTACAAATTTTGTACGAGACATCACAGTTGTGGTGCACAGGAACTTTTCGTTCAAATTTGTACAACATTTTGTACAATTTGGTACCAAAATGGCGAAAAATGTGCAGTTTTTTTGGACGAAAATTGCACGAAAATTTCGTGCGCGCAAGAAACTGTGATCGTACAAAATCGTGCATAGCATTTAATGTGCAGACGGCTTCTGATGGGCCGACCTTACTTCCGGTTAATCGTTTTGACGAGGGATCGATGGAGCAGCGAAATAGTCATAGATTTCGCCGACTAAAACTACTGTTTAGGGGTGCGTTTCTTCTTATCGAGGCCCTCGACAAAGAAAAATGCCCTCCATTCCACAATCGGCTAACTTATAACGAAGTTGGAGTTGTAACCATATGGTTACGGTGCGGTCTATTAAAAAACTTTGCATTGCATTGTAGCGGATGCCTTTCGATACGGTAAAAATATATGTTGGGAGAATGGTAGAGCAGAACAAGAAGCCCTAGGAACACTTTTGAAGTCAAAACTTGTATTGCATTGCTCAAGAAAGCAGTTTTAATCGGCTGTGACCATACGGTCACATTGGCCGTCCCGGTACCGGCTATTTCATGTCCAAATTCAAGTACGTGTTTTATTCAACTCTTACTCTTAGCCCGCCCTGACACCGTTGCCGACGAAAACACGAGTTGTAACCATATGGTCACATTGGCCGTTACAGGGTTAAGATACTTTGCACTGCCAATCGTTTAACAAACGTGGCTCACACGTGTAAGCGTGAGACAAAATGTCCCACACCTACAAGTGTGAGACTGTCTCACACTTGAATTGGCAGTGGGGAGACGTCCGTTAGTCACGTTACGCTCTGTTTGGCGTCGGGGTATCTTTTCAGCGGCACCCTGCGGTTCACGCGGGGCGGGCCAGCGTAACACCGCTCAACTCAATTTATGGACGACCCCTCTGAGCGCCGTGTAGTGATCTATTTTAACGTATCCCTGGACCGGAAGTCAAAGAAAGAGTGCAAGTCTTAATGTGCAAGAGACCAGCCTGTGCGCACGTGATGTCGTTACAGGACGTAACTTCCGGTCCACGGATTTTTCAAAACAGCCCGTCGTGTTTTTTAACTTTTACTCAAGCCGGTACAGAGCCCGATACACACAGGGCCTGAACACTCTCCAGGACCTCCAGGTGTTCGCTTCATCTCCTGACTTCCGCTCTAGCATTCGGCGGATTAGGGTACTCCAATGAAGCTCTGGGCTCGCTCTTCTCCGAAGCACGTGGTCGGTTGTACACACAGTAAAAACTCTACGAAGAATCGCTTCGCAATACGAAGAAAATGAAGGCATTGTAAAATCTACGAAGAAATGCTTCGTATTATGTAGCAAAATCCTTCGCAACACAAAGTATTTGTTCATAATACGAAGCAATTCTACAACGCCTTCATTTTCTTCGTAGTTATGAAGCAAATTCTTCGTAGGCTTTTAAGAGTGCAGAGAATCACTGGTAGCCAACGAATGTGACGTCACATTCGTTTCAATATGAAGTTTGTCACGTTCCTTTGAATAGGATGTCACAGTCGTTTGAATGTTGATCCACGTTCAAACGAATGTGACATCGTTTTCTAATGAACGTGACAAAATTCACATTCCATCGAATGTGACGTTGAATTCGTTGGCTACCAGTGAAGCCCGTCATTCGGTCTGAATCATAGGTGTTGCGTACCTTAAGGGGTTCCGAAGTGTTATCGAATTCCCGGGTTTCAGTGCTTGCTCAATGTGTTGGATGTGCTTCCAGCGCCTTACTAGTGTATCCTTTTCAGATCATCCTGTTCCTTCACGGCGCTTCGACTGGACGCTAGTGGTGTGACGGACTACGCTACGCTGGCCGCGGGATGGAGGGAACCTACTTGAATGGCGGTAAGGCAAGGATAAGCCCCGACGTACCGAATTTCGTTATCGGAGATGCATTTGCCATCGTGGAAATATCGAATTCTGCCAGAAGGACACTCTTAAAAGCCTACGAAGCATTTGCTTCATAACTACATACAAAGAAAATGAAGGCGTTAGAATTGCTTCGTATTATGAAGAAATGCTTCGTTATTGCGAAGGATTTTGCTTCGTAATACGAAGCATTTCTTTGTAGATTTTCTTCGTATTACAAAGCGGTTCTTCGTAGAGTTTTTACTGTGGATAGTTTTAAGTTGTACTCCTCTGGGTTTCTCGGCTCTCATTTTAGGAACGTGACGTCGCGTTGAAACGAATGGAACAAAACGTCGCGTTTCTTCGAACACCGTTCCACATTCGTTGGAACGTGAAGAACCTAATTTGTGGCTCGTTCACCACATTCAAACGAGTGTGACGCAATGCTCAATGGAACGTGACATTTCGACACATTCGTTTCAACTTGTTGTCACGTTCCTACACCCTATCTACAACCGCTTCCTCGATGCACGGCTGGGGACAACCGCTCAGCTGCACCATGCTTGCGGATAACCGCGCACCATCAGCCACCCTGCCGACAACCGCTTATCTGGCAGGCGGCTCCCGACAACCGCTCACGCCCCTTAAATACGGGAGATGAATCGACGCTTCGCAAATGCTGCATGTAATTCTTTGAGCCAAACTAACTAACCATACTACTAAAGACATTGCTACACTACATTCAGAGTCAATGGATTGGTTTGTACGGGCACTGTGACGGCCACTATGAACGGATAACTGGCGGCCACATAACCTAACCAGCGCCCGGCCGGCCGGGAGATGAGCGGTTGTCGGGAGCCGCCTGCCAGAAGCGGTTGTCGGCAGGGTGGCTGATGGTGCGCGGTTATCCGGAAGCAAGGTGCAGCTAAGCGGTTGTCCCCAGCCGTGCATCGAGAAAGCGGTTGTAGATAGGGGGTGCGAGTGACATCGACATCAACGACTCTGCTGCAGGGGCTGGCCACTGCTCATCATCCGACGAGGGTCACTCTGGCGTGGACGCCAAACGCCGCCGCACTGTGTTCGTCAAGTTCAGCGAGGATCCCACCATCGACGTGCACCGAGGGTCCCCGACGCGCGGCCGCAGACGGGCAGCCTCGGCTTGCGCTCGCGGCTCCTTCTCCAAATTCGGCTCATCCAGGAGCCGCCCCTCACCGGCCAAGGTGAGTACGGCAACGAATTAGCCGAAACTGAGGGCGGTGAGCGGTCTCACTCACTGTTAGAAATTAGCTCCGAAATTTTATGGAGAAAAACTCTATAATTACGTTCATGGAGACTCCATTCGTTTTCCATCTTTTTTCGGAGAGATTTTCTCAGGGCTTGAACAAATGTTCTTCGGAGCATTACTTGGGTCCTGATGGGAGGTAAAATGTATGTCTTTTCCTAGATATGTTAAAGAGGGCCGAAGCATTCTTTAGTCTGAAATGGCCAAAGAAGAGACAATCTCCTTCGAGCTCAATTGACTTATATCCTGAAGGTTTCCCTTAATAATATAAAAACTGAGCTAAGCAAAGAGGGGTTCACCTTTTCCTCATTTTTTAACTGGTTGCAAACCTTTTTTTTTGTGATTTCCGGATAGTGAAGCGTGCTTTTTTGTTCGAAATTCCGAAACTTTTCGGAGAAAGCCCAGAGTTTGCCTTTATGGAGAGCTCCATGCAGAAGTTTCGGAAGAACTCCATGATTCTTCCATTTTTTTTCTCGGAAATTTCTGACAGTGCAGCCATGCTATTTGCCAAGTTACGGGCGTTTGTCTCACAGATTGCCTTCAGACTAGCGATTTTTAGGCGAAATCTAAGTGAGTGTGAGTGAGTGTAGGCGCGAGGCGCACCCTGAGTGCAAGAAGTGGCAGACTCCCTGGAGGCTAAAGTCCCTCTCTCAGCATTTTGGAGTTCAGTGATGTCGCACCACACCGTAAAGACCCATCTCCTGGAAATTGACTCACATATTAGTGGGAATCTCAGGAGATGAATCTGCCGTGTAGTGAAAATTTGGGTTTTCTCGTGATGACAAATTAAAATGCAATTTTTCTTACAAGAATGTCATCAAAACGTTTGATGACATCGTTGTTATGCCCATGCAATAGGTATAGGAGCTTGGATGAAAATGTCATTACTTTGACATGTCATTTTCATCATTTGTGAGTGATGAAAACGTCATCCACGATTTTGTCATAGAGCGACAACAAATTTTTACAGCGCAGTGTGTACAGATTTTGTAAGTGGAGCGTCCGCAAATTACGTCGCACTAGGACCGCTAGTTCCAAGCCTGGAGGACGTATTTAGCGAGACCGTATTACTAACACTAATGCGAAGTGCGTCTCAATTTTCAGGAGACGGTCGCTTCTCCGGAACCAGACAGGACCCGGACCACGGTACCGAACCCCGTCTACATGGTAAGTTATTTTGTTTGATCTCCGACGAACACTGAGCTTCACACTAAATGTTTTTGTACAAATTTTGTACGGGACATCACAGTTTTTTGTACACACGAACTTTTCGTACAAATTTGTACGAAATTTTGGACTAATGGGGAATTTCGTGCAGTTTTTCGTACAAAAATTGTACGAAAAGTTCGTGTGCACGAAAAATTGTGATGTCTCGTTCAAAATTGTACATACCATTTAGTGTGTTCACAACGCTACGCACATAGCACGGTATGTACGTATGGTACACGAGGTGGCACTGAAGCAGGAGCAAGAACGCGATCGAGGAGGCTTTGCTCATTTCTGTTCTCAAATTCATTATCTCTTCGTTTCAGAAACGAGCGGCCCCCGAAAGTGACAAAGTTGTCCTTGTCGTACCAGCAGAGCCACTGAAGTACGTAAATAATATGCCACTGTTTTCTTTGAACTGTCCTTTGTACATTTTTTGCTCGTGGCTCTACAAAGTATTTCGCATGCCTGCTTTTCGTATTCATCAACTAGTTCTTAAATTTTCGGTTGGGGTGATACCTCCTCCACTGTAGTGTAGCAGCGAATTTTATCGTAGATTTGCTTCAATACAGCTATTGGTGTCCCACTTGTGACGCGCCGCCCGGCGGTCAGCTGTGCCTGGAAGAGCACAATTATTGGAGCATGCAGCGCGCAGTGCGCGAGGCGGCCCGGGGACTCCGCGCTGAGCACAACTCCGTGGTGGCAGAACTGCAGCGTGCGCTGGAGACCGTGCTGATGATGACGTATGTATGCATAGCCACTTCAGCTGAACTGGAACCTGCGTAGTTAACGTTTCGTTTAATTGTCCCGGAAACAATTTTGTTTCATTATATATATGCCATGCCATGTATATGCCATAGCCATTTGAAATCTACGGGATATTTTGAAATGAGGTGCCGCAATCTGTTTTGAAGATTAATCAATAAAGTGAGAGATGTAAAGCAAGACAAACCTTTTACGTTAAAACAGTATTGTAAAGATGGTTTTTTAAAGATATGCTCAAAGTAGAAAAAAAGAAAGTTCTTAGACTTGCGTCAGAGGATGGCACGCATCATCAAATGTGAAATTTTTTTGTCTTCCAACACGTTGAAAACCCTCGGACACATGTAGCGTATATCCACTGAAAACTGAAGGGTGAGGATCGCGACCAAAATTTTACGAGAAATATTTCTCACCGTCTTGTGGTGAGAATCAAAATTCTGAACAAATTTTGACCTCTAATGAGGTGAGTATCTCGATTCTCACCCCTAAGGAGGGGGAAATTTTGATTCTCACACACGAAGATGAGTTTTTCTTTCTGACCCCTAGGGTGGCTTAATTTCTTACCTGTGAGTTTTCAGTGTCTACTTTGTTGAGTTACGTTCAAATCAGTTCGTTCATTTCGAAGAACTTTCTTTGTATGCTTTTGTTTGCTCAAAATACTGTGTTATAACAAGTTACTTTTCCTAGTGAGGTCCCAAATAGTTTGTAAGGTTTCCAGAGTGCATTTCTTACGAATTTTCACGGTGGGCTCCAAGAAGTAAGATAATCTCCAGACCATCCTCTTAAGGGGGCTCATACATGTTAAAAGCACTTTGCAAAAATATTTTTTTGATGTAGAAGGATCAAGATTTTATGGTTTCTGTATCAAAACCTGTTTAGATAATTCAGTAAGCTTCATTTTGGTACAAAGTAAAGTGACTTTAGATCCTTTTTGGAAATGTAGAAGAACCGTTTAAAATTCTCGTTCTTGTAAGATTTTGTTCGCATACTTGCTCAGATCTGTGGGGGAAAAATAGAGGAGACTCATCCCTAGTAGTGTCAGAGATTTGTCTAGAATGGGCTTCTTATCTGCAATAGTTTTCAAGAAAAAAATAAAAAACAATTTTTTGTTCAAAAATTTGTTTCAAAAATAGTTAAAAAAAAATTTTTTTTGCTTTTTTTTAATTTTGCAGATAAGGAGCCCATTCTAGTCAATTCTATGACACTACTAGGGATGAGTCTCTCTGATTGTTTCTCCACAGATCTGAGCAAGCATGCAAACAAAATCTTACGAGAACCAAAATTTTTTAACGTTTATACTAAATTTTCCAAAAATGTCCAAAGTCACTTTACTTTATACCAAAATGAAGCTTACTCAATTATATAAACAGGTTTTAATGCAGAACCTATAAAATCTAAATCCTTCTCCATCAAAAAGAAATTTTCTGCAAAGTGCTTTTAACATGTAATGAGCCCCCTTTAACACCAACTGACCCATGGATTTGTTGGCCGACAGGACCTGGGCTGAGGCAGCCGAAGCGGGGCAGGACATCACCGCGCTGCGAGCGCAGGCCGCCAGCATGGGGCGCGTGCGGCAAGCTCTGCGGAAGTTCGATGAAGAAACGCTCCTACGCCGGACTGCAGCAGCTAGCCCTCCGGAGGCACGTCGGGCCGCAGAGGTAACAGCACTACGGACAAACACTCCCATTCCAGGAGCGTGACATCGCGTTGAAACGCACGTGACAGAATGTCACGTTCGTTTGAGCCAGGGCTGGGACAGATACTTTATATTTTTACCTAGGTACAGATACAGATACTGGATCAAAAAAGTACCTAGGTACAGTTACAGGTACTTGATCGAGCACAGTACCTAGGTACAGTTACAGGTACTTTGGCAAAATACCTAGGTACTTTTCAGGTACTTTCAGTTATTTTGATATTTCAACACATCCGCCCAGTAACGCAACCAAAACAAACCTCGCGCGACTTTTTCGTCCCTTTAAACTTTCTTGCGTCAATGACCCTTTCCATGCCAACGTGTGTGCTGTTTACAACCCCGATTCGTCACGCCGCATCGCCGGCGGCTCCAGGGACCATCCTTGACCTCGCTCCTATAATGGGATGGTTCCGGTAACGCATTTTAGGGACAAACCCTATGATCCCTGCTGAGATGTGTCCATTGTTTCATGGTGCAAGTCCTCTGCGTTCACCTTGGCAGTGCGTGCGGTGACCAGACCTGCCACATGGAGCCCGGAGGAGGCACATAAAAAGGGGAGGGGGCCGAATATCTGTTTATTCCCCGAAAACAGTCAGTTCTCTGAGTGTCTTTCTTTATCCCCGCACTGTTTTGAGCGCATCTCATTACCCGTCTTTCCCGACATTCGCGTCCAAAAGTACCTGTAAAAGTACCTGCAGTTCTAGGTAAAGTTACTGCCCAAAATGTACCTAGGTACAGGTACAGTTACAATTGTGACTTGAGTACCTAGGTACAGTTACAGGTACCAAAAAAGTACCTAGGTACAGTACCTAGGTACTTTTTACCTAGGTATTTCCCAGCCCTGGTTTGAGCATTGTGTCACATGCGTTTGAATGTGAACAAGCTAATTTTTGTCCGATTCACATCCAAAACGAATGTGACACAATGCTCAAACGAACAATGAGAGTGTCAAAGGACAAGTAAAGTACACCTGATATTTTTGATTTGGACCCATCCCTCGACTAGTTTTTGCGGTCTAATATTAAAATCTGTGTGGGAAATTTTTTGTCAAAGGGGTGTTTGTATGTCTCTACTTATCGCCACTGCGAGGAGTACTTTCCTGCACATGGAAACTGTTGTTGGTTTTTCAAGAACCTCCCCAGAGATCGTCCACGTCTCTACTATCGACTAACTGTGATAACCAGGAACCGTTTTTGTCGTGAAGACTATGTGTTACTTTTAACGATTTTGTACGAGACGTTACAGGGTTTTTGTGCAGATGAATTTTAAGTACCGAGTTGAAACGATGCAAAGCATAACGGTCTTTGTTCATAGGACCCATCGAGATGCACCCTTAAAACCTTACGAAGTATTTTGAGCATACATACGTTAAATAGTTCGTAAATTACAAAGTATTTTCTTTGCAACCTTATGTATGCTCAAAATACTTTGGGGTCATTCCATGTCAACTCAACCCAGAGATGGAATCAATGTCTCCGATTTTGATGAAATTTTGCACAGAGGTCACAAAAAGTGTCTATAACACTCCCCTAAAATGGTTTTGGAAAATTTTCATTTTTGCATTTTTGGCGTTATTTTTGGTTTTTTGACCATTTTGGTGTAGTGTTTTGCGGAAACAAGCCTATCTTCCGCAATTTTTGAGCTAGAGCAAAAATTTTTTTTTCAAAATGCTCAGAATGAAACGAGGAATCCAAAACTGTTATCAGTTTTTGGATTTGAACTTTTTCAATTTTTTTTGTTAAATGTTCAAATTTTGAACGCTAAAATTTTTTGTGATTACCAATTTTGAAAAACTTGAAAACAGAGTATTTTGTGCCTTATAATGTGCCTAAAAAGTGTGCAAAATTTGGTGGGGGTCTTTCGCCTCGTTTGGACAAGAATTGACAGAGTGTGGAGTGATGCGCTTCAGTAACTTGCACAAACTTCGTAAATACGCTGTTCCAGGACGGTTTGGCTGTCCCCCGCACTCAACTTGACCTCCCCAACTTGAAGTACCCCCCCCCCTCCCTTCTCCCTGGGTTCGTCGCGGGCTACAATTCGCATTCGAAGGCGTCAGGGCGCGACACCGTCGGCTGTGACGTCACCATGGGACCTCTAGACTTGAAAGCGTCAAAAAACGCAAAGAGCCTAAAACTGGGTTAAGTGAAAGGCATTTTCACAATACTGGTGACTTAGATATTTGTACTGGAGAGTGATTTTAAAGTGACAAAGCGAAATAAGAAAGTGAAAATTGTGTTGGGTGTCGCCACGGACCTCTGGAGTGTTCCCAATAGCTCCGTCGAGCAGATAGGGCGCGCTGAGCTTTGCCTTCGAATGCGAATCGCCACACTGTAAAAAATTAGTTCGAAATTTACAACCAATTTATGGGTATTTCGTTGCACAAATTATACGTAAATTTACAACGTTTTTTTTTTCATGGACGTTTTATGAATTATTCTTCACACATTAGTTTGTAAAATCACAAACTTTTACACGCTCAAAATTACGTGGACTGCTTTTGTTCTACCTTTCACGCTGATTATATACAGATTAAGTAGTTTCAGCGTTTTTGTTTTGTTTTATGAAACATCTTGTAAAATGATGACGGCATCACCATATTTCGTAATTTTACAAGCGATTTGTGCAACAGAATTCGTAGAGGCCGTTTTATGAATTACTCATCACGGAAATCTTCTTAATTTTATGAAATTTGTTTGTGAACACCGCCTTATGAAATGGTTGGAACGAAATACATCTTAAACGTGACTATAATACTACAGCAATGTCAAAAAAATATGAAAAGTTTCCTAAAATTACAACAAATGCTTGGGTAATTCTGTTGCACAAATCGCTTGTAAAATTACGAAATATGGTGATGCCGTCATCATTTTACAAGATGTTTCATAAAACAAAACAAAAACGCTGAAATTACTTAATCTCTATTTAATCAGCGTGACAAGGTAGAACAAAAGCAGTCCACGTAATTTGGTGCGTGTAAAAAGTTTGTGATTTTACAAACTACTGCGTGAAGAATAATTCATAAACCGTCAAGAAACAAAAAAACGTTGTAAATTTACAGATAATTTGTGCAACGAAATTACCCATAAATTGTTTGTAAATTTACGAACTAATTTTTTACAGTGTGGCGATTCGCATTCGAAGGCAAAGCTCAGCGCGCTCTATCTGCTCGTGGTGGGCACTATTGGAACTACTCCAGAGGTCCGTGGCGACTAGCCCCAACACAATTTTCACTTTCTTATTTCGCTTTGTCACTTTAAAATCACTCTCCAGTACAAATATCTAAGTCACCAGTATTGTGAAAATGCCTTTCACTTAACCCAGTTTTAGGCTCTTTGCGTTTTTTGACGCTTTCAAGTCTAGAGGTCCCATGGTGACGTCACAGCCGACGGTGTCGCGCTCTGACGCCTTTGAATGCGAATTGTCGCCCGCGACGAACCCAGGGGAGAAGGGAGGGGGGGGGGTACTTCAAGTTGGGGAGGTCAAGTTGAGTGCGGGGGACAGCCAAACCGTCCTGGAACAGCGTATTTACGAAGTTTGTGCAAGTTACTGAAGCGCATCTCTCCACACTCTGTCAATTCTTGTCCAAACGAGGCGAAAGCACCCCCACCAAATTTTGCACACTTTTTAGGCACATTATAAGGCACAAAATACTCTGTTTTCAAGTTTTTCAAAATTGGTAATCACAAAAAATTTTAGCGTTCAAAATTTGAACATTTAACAAAAAAAATTGAAAAAATTCAAATCCAAAAACTGATAACAGTTTTGGATTCCTCGTTTCATTCTGAGCATTTTGAAAAAAAAATTTTTGCTCTAGCTCAAAAATTGCGGAAGATAGGCTTGTTTCCGCAAAACACTACACCAAAATGGTCAAAAAACCAAAAATAACGCCAAAAATGCAAAAATGAAAATTTTCCAAAACCATTTTAGGGGAGTGTTATAGACACTTTTTGTGACCTATGTGCAAAATTTCATCAAAATCGGAGACATTGATTCCATCTCTGGGTTGAGTTGACATGGAATTACCCTTTGTTCTAAGGAACTGCTTTGCTTTCCAAGGCCGGAAATAGTTTGTAAGGTTTTCTCAGTGTGTGCTTCAAATTGCATCATTTCATGGGTCAAAGATTAGCCCAGTGACATTTATTGTGTGCCCGTACAGGCATCCAATTTACCATGTTGGAACTAACTTAAGATTTTTGTATAAACGTTTTTGGTCGGAGGTTAACGTTCAGTGAAAATTCAATTGATTGGCGCAGTCAATGGATATCTGAATGTCTTAATCTTGCCCAGAGTAGCTTATCTTCCAATGTCTCTCGACTCCACAGGAGGTGCCACAGCTGGCTGTGACAGCGGTGACGTCGCTGCCTCGTGAAGAGGGCCCGCTTGTCGACAGCGTCGTCATCCACGACCAACTGAAGCAGGAGCAGGAACGTGACGAGGAGGCTTTCGCGGACAACGCCACCACAGTGTCGGCGGCAGACACAGACGACATCATGGTAAGATGTCACGCATGGAAATTTTTGCGACTGTTGTGCGACGTGATTGCATTTATAACACGATATAATTTTTTATTGCTGCCACTGTGCTAATTTTAAAGGAATCACATAAGCCTTTTTAAATCGCTGTTTATTGCATGAACTTTATCACGATAGAAATACCAGTGTCGGAGCGTGGTTTTTAAACCCTTGGTATACTAGTGCGATTTTCATCGCCTTCACTTCTGTGCAGATACTGTCTCCTAATGGAGATTGGGAAGCAGCTGACGAAATGCCTAGCGGACTGAAGCAGGAGACGAACGATGTCGACGAACATGAGGACCAACATGTCGACCAACAAGTCGACCAACATATGGACCAACATGTGGACCAACATGTGGACCAACATGTGGACCAACATGTCGACCAACAAGTCGACCAACAAGTCGACCAACATGTCGACCAACATGTGGACCAACATGTCGACCAACGTGTCGACCAACATGTCGACCAGCATGTCGACCAACAGGTCGGCGGAAGCAACGTCGTCATCACTCTGCCAGGGCACAACTACGCTGCGGTAGGATTTCCATTCGTAACTCGCCACAAACCTAACCGTTTACGAAGTACACACTTGCATTTACGACTGCGCACCTGCAAGTACACGCAGGGCGACGAGCACTGAAAAGCCTGGAATTGTCCTGGAAATTGGAGCACCGCTAAAACGCCTTGAAATGGTCGGGAATTTAACTTTCCACACGGGAAGTTTCCTCGAAAATTTGTCGCCGAAGTCCGCGCGTATTCCGTCCGCTGTCCGTCTAGTGGGATTCCACTGACAACCAGTGCCTTGCGAAGCGCGCCCGTGCCTTTCCTTGCGTGCCCCTACACCGGTAAAACTGAAGCGTAGTTGTATGCTTGATTCAAGCATACAACTACGCTTGAAGACTTTACGCTTGACGTCAAGCGTAGAGAAGAAGTTCTCCCATGCATTTAGATAGGCGGGAGAGGGGCAAAATGGAGAACTATGCTTGAAGCCGAGCGTAGTTCTACTACGCTTGAAAAAAGGCGTAAAACTACGCTTGAGTTCTACCAGTGTAAACAGCGAACTTTTTTTTGTAAAGGTTGTCGTAGAGGGCCGCGAAATCCATGAAAAATTGTCCGGGAAATCGTGGAATTGTCCTTGACTTCGAAAATGCGGCTCGACACTACAGATGCGTACTTTGCTGAGTACACACCTACAGGTGCAAACGCTTAAAGGTGGATCTCCAATGAACAGAACGTCCGTCCGTCCGACGTCCGTCGTACCTCTGTGCTACAAAATAAATACGAAATATCGCTCTCTTGTGACTTAAAACTCATTGGCAGGATCTATGATCATCGCGCGTCATTCTGATGAGACCCCAGTGTACTCTAGGTAGGGAAATAGAGTTGGGCGGACGTTGGACAAACGCCGGACGGACGGCCGCCGTGTTCATTGGAGATCCACCTTTAGGTGTGTACTCATCCAAGTATGGATCAGTATACAGAAGACCCATAGGTGTTCACTTGCAAGTATGCATCCGTAGATGCGTACTGAGTAAACACTTCAGATTGTAGCGAACGAATTGCCTTTCAGTGCATCCTTTTTAAGTCGCTGACTGATTTCAGGTTTACGCGCCTGACGAGTGTCTTGACGTCTCGGAAGCGACCGATCAAGTCCAACATTCTTCGCAACTGGACGACATCATGCAATCTGCAGGATTAGACAAGGTAAAGCCCAAACACTTCGATGTAGAAGCAGTTCTGTGGAGCTGTTGGGGTGAATCACTCAGCGTTTTGGTGTACACATGAGTACAGGTGAGGACACTTGATTACGCTCTTGAATGGAGCTTATTGCTGACGTTTTTACGCCTCTTTGGCGTCTTACAAGGAAAATAAGTTTGGTTTTTTGCACTCTTTTAAAATTCGTGAGTACAGAGTACGGGCTTTTGTGTACACATGAGTACACTAGTGATTCACCCCTCGCTTTTATTTTTATCATGAAATACTTACTCAAGGTGTTCAGTTCTTCCCCGCGCTGAACTTAACAGTGGATGCCGGGAGCTGGTTTTGCCGTCGAAACCTTCACTGAAAATCTACCAGCGTGACTTCGTGCCGCTGCAGGAGCGTGAATTAAATGTCACGCAGAAAAACGGCATGACAAAAAAGTCATGCCAAAAATCGGCGTGACTCTCGGAATTCACGCCGAGTTTTGGCGTGAATTTCCTGTCATGCCGGTTTTTGGCATGACTTTTCTCATAAAACGCATTCTTGCACACATGGTGCATTCATGCCAGGTGACAGGGTGACGCACACGTCATGCCGTTTTACGGCGTGAATTTCCTGTCACGCCAATTTTCGGCGTGACTTTTTGTCGCGCCACAATTTGGCCATGTGTCCGACCATGCAATTTTCAGTGTTGACAGTCTTTGAGTGCGCGTGCTCGCGTTGCAGGTGAAGCGGCTGAACGGCGTCAACTGCTGCAAGCAGCCCAGCTGGAGCGTGTCGCTGCTGAAGCGCGTGGCCCCGACGGTGGAGTGGCTGTACGTGCTGGAGGCGCTGACGGAGCACCAGCAGGCCGTGAGCGAGATGCCGTCCCTGCGCTACCTGCACCTGCACGTGTGCCACACGGACGGGACGCCGCCGGCCCTGCCGCTGCAGCTGGAGGAGCTGACCGTGGAGAACGTGGCGAAGCACCACTTCACGTCGCTGCAGCGCATGCCGCGGCTGCGGAAGCTCTCGCTGGACTGGAGCGACGACCCCGTGGCCGTGGTGTCGCCGCCGCTGCCGCCGCACCACCGCGGCCTGCAGTGGCTGTGGGTGTCGCTGCGGCCGAGCTCCACCGCGCTGTCCCTGGCCAGGGCGCACGCCGCCACCCTCATGGAGCTGCGCCTCCTGTGCGCCACGCACGGCGACACCCCCTGGCACTTCAGGGACCTGGCGGCGGGGCTGCGCGGCTGCGGCCTGGCGGCGCTGCGACGCATCGTCCTGCTGCGAAGGCTGCTCCCCAACGTGCCCGACAGGGAGATCCCCCACAACAGGAACGCGTGCCTGCGGCAGAAGGCGAGCATCGACGAGGCCTTGCGAGTGCGCGGCAGGGCCCCGAAGGTCTTCTGCGCGGTGTGCGACGCCGCGCCGGAGTTTCCGGAGCTCGGGGACTTCACTTGGATGGACAGGTAGCTGGTAGTGTATGGCGTTGTTCGGATGCATGTTCTTGAAGTAACAGAAGCATGCCTTTTTAGAATTCACGATCTTAGTTGAAGCTTCTGTTCTGCTCTGGAGTGTGTAATTTGATTGAGAGGATCCCTTCTTTAGGACCCAAATTTTTAGTCGAAGTGATTGAACTGCGTGTTTTACTCGGCGGTGTGTATTTTGATTGAAACAAGGATGTTGGTGCTTGACGAACGAGCGGAGCACGCCAGGCATAGATGTAGTATTTCTCATTTGCCCACAAATGGTTTATCTTAAGTGACGTGCACCAAAAACCTGGATCTGTTAAGTACGCATTGTACATTATTTATTCAAGTTTTGAACCCAGGTACAAATTTTACATAGTTATGTTCTTTATCCCCTCAATTTTGTCATATGAACGTAAATGAATAAATGTGTTCTTTGTACTAAAATTCACACATCTTGAAGGATCGTTTAAGTATTCACTTGTGCTTCGAAGAGAGTGGCCTGACGTGATTTGCCTAATGAGAGTTTTCTTCGCTCTTTGTGTACTAGTAGGTGGGCAGTACTCCAACATTCAGGTGATTAATTGGGTCCTCTTGTATTACAATCCAATCATCAGAAAACTGTACCATCGGTGACAATGTGGATGTGATTATGATGTGTTGCTATCAATCTGTTCGGCATAGCACACCCACTGTCAAGAACTTCCTTGTTTAATTACAACAAATTTTTTTATAAACAGTGTTTACGCTTTTAACCTTATGAAGTATTTTCAGCGTACATAGAACAAAATAGCAATTTACTGTGTTATACGAAGAAAAGGTTTCGTAAATTACGAAGTATTTTCTTTCTAAGCTTAGGTACGCTCCAAATACTTTGTTGTAACAAGCAGCCTTTCTTTGTAATGCCCAAAATAGTTTGTAAGGTTTTCTCAGTGTGTGTTACGCTGAAAATCATTCGCCACTCTGCAAACTCAACAGTGTACTCAGTACACTCTAGTTAGAGTGTACTCATGTACACTCTAGTTAGAGTGTACTCATGAGCACACTCTAACTAGAGTGTACTGAGTACACTGTTGAGTTTGCAGAGCATATCTTGTCCCTCGTACTTATGACGGCTTTGGGATGACTTCGCAGTCAACTGCCACACAAAACGACGGATGAGCGGTGGACTTGGAGAAGCCTCCTGTTGCTCGGAACTTGTAGCGTCCATAAGGCATCACAGGGAAGTTGGGAAATGTCCAGGCAACTGATTCATTCTTGAAGGCGAAGTGTCCCTGGAGTATAAAGCGATTCATCCCGTCAATAAGCAAGAAGCTGGTCTCTGGACCAGCTTCACTGAAAAATGTCCACCTTCACACTAAACTCTTGTGGACTTTTACATTCACAATTTTGCCTTTTCTGGGCAGAATTATGCATGCACAGGCATACCAGGTGTGTGTAAAATTATGCATGACTAAGAATATTTTATGCATCTTCATGCATTAAATGTTAACTGTGATGCAGAATATTTTACACACTTCACGTAAAAGTCGCTGCGAGAAAAAAGTGCAGAAAAAGTACGGAACATGTCATGATCAATAATTTGCCGGGGCCGTTCGTAAGTGACCGACTACGGAACTTCTGTACTACTTTTCCGTGCCCGATTACACGAGTTCTTATGGAACTAGTGCGGACGGGACGTTCCGTACTTTTTTCATACTTCCGCACTATATTCATGAGTACATTTTCCGTCCTGAAGTACGGAATTTTTAGCACTTTAACTGTGCATGCACAATTATGCTTAAGTCAACAAGAATTTGGTGTGTTGTGGCCACGTATCCTTCTCCTGGGCCTTTGAAGAGTACCTGTTTACGCCCGGGATATGCATTTATATTGTCCTGACGACACGATTAATTGGTCACGTACGTTAAGGGGGGACCCTGGTGAAACTTTCAAGTAGGCTTCAAAATAATCCCAGGAAGTTGAAACTTTGCTTAATTATTAGGTTCATTATGGTGAGTTCCCAAAACAAAATTCAATCCAAAATATTGAACGGTCTCTGAGAAAAGTGGCTTTTTAGTGTTTTTTGGAGCGTTGGGGAAAAATCTTCCTGCGTCTTTCATTGGGACGGAAAGCCTTGAAAATTTTTTTGGGTTATCCTAAAGATGTATAGAAGAGATTTTAGTGACGGAATTTTCAAATTCAACTTCTGTCCTGAGATATAAGTTTTCAAATTTTAACATTAAAAAAAAAGTGATTTTTTTCCCTTTTTTCAAACTTTTAGGTGTGTTTTAAAAAAAGTAGGGCTGATATCAAGATTCCGTCACTAAAATTTGTCGACAAGTCATCAATGAATAGAGTCCATGCAAGACGACTCATGTAGGTGTCAACCAGGAACGCAGGAAGTCTTTCTACGACAAAATTTTTGTCGACTGAGCAAAGCTGTGAAGTTGAGCGTAGAAGCCAACGACAACTGATCTCAATGTTATTTCCTTCCAAATGATAAAGAAACTACTCACTTAGCTTAAAGGTGTTCAACCTGTTGAATCTGAAACCTTCTATGCACTTTTTTATCTATGAACTTTGAAAATACAATTTATTGGAATTTTGGCGATTTTTTCACCAGGGTCCCCCCTTAACCGTCACCCAACAAATCGGAAAGCGTTCATGATATGCTCTACCTGAAGCATGCCTGCAAGCACGCGCTACCCTCCGCATGCCTGCCAAGCATGCACTGACCAGTGCATACATGTCATGTACACACTTCCCGATGTACTAGTAAGTGCATGCTTGGCTTGCAGGCAAGCCCCAGGTAGAGCGTTCAATGTACGCTTCTCGATTCGTGGAGCAGATTTACCTCAGATTTACAACCATGTACACAATGTACATATGCACGAATGTGGCAATCGTTATGGACAAGGAGTCCATCGGCCACTGCGATACATCAAACTTACGGCTGGAATGACGCAGGGTGCTTTGTATCCGTGGTTGCCCCGCTGTGTTTCGCAACGATGCGAAAGAAGTCAGGCACGTGCTCCTGCATCGTAGAACACGCCGAGTTCCGGAAGTTCAAGACGAACGCGTTGTCTTTCCATTGGTTGTTGGATCACACGGCCAGGTCCACGCGCGCCTTAAATGCCAATTTGAACGATGTTTGTGCTCAGACGCTTTGACAGGCCACTCGTAGGGTCGTGTTCAAAGCTTATATAAGAGGTTTTTTTTTAGAAGGCCGGTCGTGGCACGATCGATGTCGATTTCCTACTATTTTCGGGTCGTAGCAAAGCTCTGAAATATTAAGGGGGCAGAAGTAGCATTAATTTAGAAAAAAATCGATATTTTGTTTTTTGATAAGGTTTTATAATAAGACAACCTTCTTCAAGAATATGACAGCGTTATAAAATACTTCCTGATATTATTTCTTATAGGGAGAGGGTCATTTTTACTTCTCAAGTATCAAGTGGAAAAATTTTGGATGGAAAACTTCTAGCGGGGACTGAGTAGCTCTGCATCCATTTTTTTGTCACATGGATGGTGAACCATGTTAAAGATTGAATTTGTCTTCACATCAATTTGTGTTGATATTACTGAATTTTTGGTCTTTGCTTTGTTTCCTGATAAGGCTTACTCCGACAATATCGAAGAGCAAATGTAGTTATATCGTAGACAACCGTGCCCCGCGGAAGCAAGAACCACGTCCTTGACAGCTTGACTTACCCAATTATTGTTCGTCACGTTTACTTTTGGTTTAAAATATCCCGTCAGAGTCTGTCGGTCGAAGGGTCTGCTTGGGTTGAAATGGCTTGGACGAACCGACATCACGCCCAAGGTTTCATCTGAGGGGCAGGGGTCAATAGTGTGGGCGAAGGCAATATACGGTCCCTGGAAAACCAGAAAACATGTTTCTCGTCCCAGCCGATTCATCCGGAACCACGGCCTATTCGCTTATAAGCGAATCCAGATATCTCCCCTGAGCGATACCGATTTGGACAAAGATCCGTCCAGGTCCCGTCGGAGTCCGTGCGCATTTGGACCGTTTCCACTGCACGCTGGTTAGATTAAAACATAGTTTAATTCGAGGTTTAATTGGTCCAAGGAGTGGAAGAAGAGAATAATTAGACTTATCTCCTAATTGAGTTTTAAATGCATTATTGTCCCTAAGTATGGTTTACATCATTGCGCCAATTTATTTGAATCACTTTCAAGCAGTTAGAGAGAAAATATACTTTGAAATAACAGGAAAAGTAGCGATATACATCGGCAACTTTCGCCCGTCCCGTACGTTAAGAAACGTACGAATTTCGCCTATGTTTGACCCTGACGGGAATTAAACCTTAGTCTGGGGTTAAAATAAATGTCGTTTTCGTCGTCAGCACCCTCAAAAACATCAGAAACAATGCAAAAACTCGAATAAAAAAGAATGTTCAAAAAACAACCCGCTGGGATTTGAACCCGGGTCCGAACTTCTCCGATTCGCTGAAAACTGGCACCATTGGTTTTTTCTCGTCACCCCGATTCCAAAAATACCCCTACATGCCCTCCTAGCTGCATCCTGCAGGAGCGCCCCCGGGGCTCGGATCGGATTTGCTGCCACCGGGCGGTTCTTAGGAGGCTGCGTACCAAATTTCGTCACGATCGGACCATGGGAAGTCCTCGGACGGACGGACGGACGCACAGCAGGGATCATACTATATGCCCGTCCCGCCGTCATATTTTTCAAAAAATAAACGGGACGGGCCAAAAAGATATAACTCAACTCGACCCCTTTTACGCTCTCAATTGATCCAGGAAGCGGAAGAAGGGGATAACTCAATTTTGGCCATTTTCCAGGAGAAACCAAAAACTGTTAGCAGGGAAAACTAAAACAAAACAAATGAATGTTGCAGATGTTAATAATTTCAAAAAACATTAGTAAAATTTTGGAAAAAAATCAAAAGTGTAAGGTCACTCCGTAGAGGATTTCTGCGACTTATCGCTTTCCGTTGAAATGGAAAACAGAGTCAGCTCACCTTATATTTCCTTAACAGAGAGGAATTTTGAGACAAGTCAAGTGGAACAATAGTCTGCATAAAGTGTATGTTACTCTGGTGTATTTTTTGGACTTAGCTCTTTTTTCCAAATTGAAATTTAAAATTAAGGGGGGGGGTTAAGTTGAGTTGATTCTTTTTACACTAGATTCATAAAAATACAAGTTGAGTTATATCCTTTTGCCAATTTGTCAAACGGACTCATGTGGACTTCGGTTGAGTTATCTCCAATTTCCAATGAAATTTAGACCGTAAAAGGGGTTAAGTTGAGTTATACCCTTTTTCCATGTGGATTTTCTCCTAAACTGCTTGGAATTCAGTCAAATAATTTGGTGTAATGATGGAAACCATTCTAAGGCACAATAATAAAATGAAACTCAACTTGGGGATAAGTCAAGTTATTCCCTTCTTCCGCTTCCTGGATCAAGTGATAACTACGCTAGAGAAGTAAAGATGCAAAACAATATTTATCGCATTTATAATGCTATAACTTTTTCATGGCGCCAATACTGCAATTAAACTGGTATTGGTTCTGAATTGAGTTCATTTTCTTAGAAACCCTTAGAAAACCAGTGTAGTCTCATCAATACTTTTGAGTTGCACACATGGCAGTTTTTGGCATTCCTGTGTCCCAACAACGCAAGTGATACCAATCGCAAGCATGCCTACATATAAACTTGTCATTGCGATACGAATTGGTTAACAATCTCATTCATCGTCTGCTTTCACGTCAGCGTAACGGTAGAGTTGTGTGTGTGTTTTGGTGCGCATGACTGAAACGACTGTGATAGAAAGACAAGTTTTTTTTTGCGTGTGGCCTGGTGCGGGTCCAGAAACTTTTATGTATGTATGTATGTGTGTGGGTGTGTGTATGGGGGGGGGGGGGCACAAGTTGCTTACCCATAGGGGCAGTGGGACTTTTTGCCTACCTTTCAGGCAGGCGGACTTCGCCTTTGTACTAGGAAACGATTTGGAAAGTTATTACTGTTTGAAGGTATCTTGGGCACCCCGAGCGACTCATTTTTTATTTACCACTTTTTTACCGTAGTGGGTGCAGATGTCTACACCCTTAAGTCCTTAGACTGATACCCGTTTTGTAGGTTTCGGACAGTTGTATGAAGCCATATTATGAACCAAATTTCGTTTGTAGCACGGATGTTTTTTGTTCGTAAAACAAGAGTTTTAGTGTCTGTAAGTTGCAAAATTATCTGTAAATTGCGGACACCAAAACCTTTGTATTGCGGACAAAAACATCCGTATTACAAATAAAATTCGATCCGTAATATGGGGAGGGGGGGCTGATAGTAGGCAACCAGCATCGCATGCCCCTGTAGGTAGGCAAAATATACACAATCGCCCACCCTGTCGTGGAGCGGGCTCGAAGCACTGAAAATCCAAGTGTGGGACAGGCGTGCACTAGATAACGTGGGACAAAATGTCCCACGCTTGTAAGTGTGGGACACGGTTTGTCCCACGCTTGTAAGCGTGTAACACGGTCTGTCCCACGCTTGCAAACGTGGGACAATTTGTCCCACGCTTACAAGCGTGGGACAGTTTGTCCCACGTTATCTAGTGCATGCCTGTCCCACACTTGGATTTTCAGTGAGGCCAGTAACAGAAAACTAAATAATTCCGTACCTAGACGCTTGCGCCCACTCAGGCCCACTACTTCATTGGTGAAGATCCCCTAGGGATTACAAATTATTGACACATTGACAAAACTAGTCAAAAACGGTTCCTGTCTTTCCGAAAGCAGCATACAGTAAAGGCGTGGGCGCTTTCCAGGGCGCTCCACCCAGAAACCGTTTCTGCCGTGTGCGGCTAAAACATGCTAAATCTACGGTCACCACAATCGCCCGGCTCCGTACAGCGTACGTGTTGATGCTTTTGCCTCGAGCGTGGTTGCCACCATTGAGCATCGGGGGACAAGCGTCCCGACCAGCAGGAATCGGAGGAGCGACATGGCGCTTCAGGCAGGGCCGTGTAATTAGTGAGCTTGTGGCGCTGGGCGCTCGCCCGCCCCCTCCACGTGGAGCCTTTGTCCTCTTTCATCAAGCGTCACGCGGCTCGTTCCGCGCAGAGGGGTCACGCAGCGAATTACTTACGGGCCTTTCGGCGGAAGCTCCGGCGGAATGCCCGGAAAACGACAGGAAAAGTGGCGATGCATATCGGCAACTTTGGGCCGTCACGCTTCATACGGCCCAACATTTCAACTCTATATCGTGCAAAGATAGTTTTGCCTATTCTCATATTTATGTTACTCTGTAATAATTTATTTTTCTGGTCACCCCAGTCCATGGTCGCCTCATCTACCGGGAAACCCGGATGGGCTTAGCAGCTCAGTCGGACCGGCTGAAGATTTGTAGGGTCATCACTCCTGGCTCGACACACATTAATTGTTGCTCCAGAGGTTGGGTTGAACCAGGCGAAAAACGCCCGGAAGTCGGACGGAAAACAATATTTTGACTGAACGTTTAATGCCAAGTTGCACAACGCTTTAGATGTTTTTAGGGCTGCGGTAGCACTCGCCATCCCGTGGAACACAAGATCTGCTGGCTAATCTGACGGGGCGAATGTCGGTTCGGGCGAGGTTGGTCCGGCCGTAGTCGTGGTCGGTTCGGGCGTAGTCGGTGCCTGCGTGGTGGTGGCAAGCACTGCAGACAAAACAAGGATGTCTTCAGTTATAGGAACCCTCAAGCACGAAAAACAAATACGAAAAAGGATGATCTTACGAAGAAGCGAGACCCGACCACTCTATAAACTGAAGTGTGTACTCAGTATGCGTCTGTAGACGCGCAAGTACACACCTACAGATGCATACTTAGATGAGTACACATCTACAGATGCATACTCAGCTGAAAATGTTCCATATTGGTGGTGCAGCTGACTTCGTAACAAACCATTGAGAATTCACTGTACCGATTTCGGCAACGATGAATTTCGTTGGTATTATGGAGAAAATCTCCACAATAGACCTCTTTGCCGTTCCCACGGTCCCCCTCCCTGGACCACCGTTGCCTAGCAACGCGAGCCAAACAAATCGCAGGTATGCTGCACACCGGACGGCGCGCGGCGGGTGGGTTTTTCGGCCATATTTCCTAAACCGTTCAAGATAGACGTGTACAGTAAGCGAGCCGATTGTAGATCTCTGCTTAAACTACAATCGGCTCGCTTACTATACCCATCTAGCTTTAAGGGGGGACCCTGGTGAAAAAATCGCCAAAATTCCAATAAATTGTATTTTCAAAGTTCATAGATAAAAAGTGCATAGAAGTTTCAGATTCAACAGGTTGAACACCTTTAGCTAAGTGAGTAGTTTCTTTATCATTTGGAAGGAAATAACATTGAGATCAGTTGTCGTTGGCTTCTACGCTCAACTTCACAGCTTTGCTCAGTCGACAAAAAATTTTGTCGTAGAAAGACTTCCTGCGTTCCTGGTTGACACCTACATGAGTCGTCTTGCATGGACTCTATTCATTGATGACTTGTCGACAAATTTTAGTGACGGAATCTTGATATCAGCCCTACTTTTTTTAAAACACACCTAAAAGTTTGAAAAAAGGGAAAAAAATCACTTTTTTTTTAATGTTAAAATTTGAAAACTTATATCTCAGGACAGAAGTTGAATTTGAAAATTCCGTCACTAAAATCTCTTCTATACATCTTTAGGATAACCCAAAAAAATTTTCAAGGCTTTCCGTCCCAATGAAAGACGCAGGAAGATTTTTCCCCAACGCTCCAAAAAACACTAAAAAGCCACTTTTCTCAGAGACCGTTCAATATTTTGGATTGAATTTTGTTTTGGGAACTCACCATAATGAACCTAATAATTAAGCAAAGTTTCAACTTCCTGGGATTATTTTGAAGCCTACTTGAAAGTTTCACCAGGGTCCCCCCTTAACGGTTTACGAGATATGACTAAAAAACGCATCCGTCGTGCGTCGCCTAGCAGGCAGCATACCTGAGATTTGTTTGGCTCGCGTTGCTAGGCGACGGTGGTCCAGGGAGGGGGGCCGTGGGAACGGCAAAGAGGTCTATAATATGTTGGTGCAGCCTTACATTTACCGTGTAGAATACTCTATTCGAACCAAGTCCGCACTCACCCGCTTCACACGTGTCCGCGCCCTCGTCGCTGCCGTCTTCGCAGTCGGCCACTGCGTTGCAGAAGGCGGCGGCGTCCACGCACTGGCCCGAGGAGCACTCCAGCTGGCCGGCCGCGCCGCACGAGGCGCCTGCGGGCAGTCACGAGAAAAGGATACTTCGGATTGCAATGTGAATGTGCGGAATTTTTTAGCAGATGATACGTTCACGTATCAGCGTGCTTGTACTCTCGTGCAGAGAGTACCGAGTTTCCGGCTAGCCAGGCAGCAGTTGCCTCGTTGCCTGACTAGCAAGCCTAGAAGAGGCCGAGCGACTCGCTGGCAAGGCACCGGCTGGCTGGCCTGCCTAGAAGATTATGAGCGGAGGGCCCGCAGTCTGCCGCGCCGCGCCGCGCCGCGCCGTCGCCCGCCGCACCATGAATCGGGGCGCCTGCGGGGACTCGCGTTGCGCGCGCGGCGAAAAACCTCGACACCCAGCTATCTAGTACTCATGAAGTGCGTCCCTCGCGTGGCGCGTCGTCACGAGACGCTGCTAGCACGCATCGCGTAGCTGCCCCCCTCGCCCATTCCCTTGCCGAGACGCCTAGTCCCGCCGCGCCCCGCCACACCCCGCAGCAGTCTACACACACACGCACTTGAGCCTTGAGTGCGTAGAACGCATAGTACAGCGCCCCCCGAACCCCTGCCCCTCTCGAGAAGCGGCGCGTCGGCACTCGGCAGTGTGCGCCACTCTTGCTTATCTATCTTGAGGTCGGGTTCGGGTGGCGCGCCGGCCGGCCGGCCCCGCTTGGAGATGTGGCTGACACGCCGCGTGCCGCAAGGCGCCTTGCCCTAGTACCGAGCACAACTTTTACGGGTAATGAGTGTTTATGTGATTAGCCACCAAATTGTGCATCCTCGCGTTGAAACAACGAAAATGATACCCAACACAAGTGGTATCGGACATATGAGTGCCCCACCGTCATTGCGAACATGTTTAACACAAAAAAAGGGCACGTTAGGATATTCAAAAGTTATACTAAGATTGACATTTCCATGAATTACCATGTGTAACAAATTTGTTAAAAAAAGAGTTCCGAGTGTTTACTCTTTGAAATATGTTGACAAAATGTCACATTCATACATTGAAATAAACATTCTCATAAGTATCATCTGCTTTCACGTTAGCGTTAGCGTTAACGTTTTTTAAAGTGAAAAGTTGGTTACAAAAAGCAGGGGCAAAATGAAGGTCACTGCGATTCCTTAATTATCGCATCTCTGAAAGCCATAAAAAATTGTCGCGATGAAAATGCAATAAGTTTGTTCCCTTTTGGCAGGTTATGACAATTATCATTTTGTTTAAGTGATGATTCTTTAAACGTACTGTGTACGTTATTGCACAATAATAGGTACTGCACGTAAAACGCAATAACTTTTTTTAATGGCAAAAATAATGCAATAAAAATTGTGTTGCTATTGAAGTGAGTTCATTACCACACTTGGAACAAGAGTGTCGAGAAGCGCATGCACTGAAAACTTAGGTGTGGACTGAGATTTCTAAGTACAAACACCCAGCATTCAACACAAAATCTTGCGGACCTCTTTAAAACAGGGCTATGCATTTTAGTGCATAATTTTGTGCATGTACCAGTACGAACGTAAGCTGTCTCAAAGTATGAATCATTGTGTACATTTCACATTCATATTACGTACACTCTAAATGTCTTACAATGAAATTTGACCTATGTTATTCGTATGTTACAGTGAAATCGGCGCAAGCATAATACGAAGCGATATTCCTTCGTAATACGAATCTTTTTAGCTTTTTCATTCTAAGATACAAAGAAAAACCTTCGTAATACGAAGAAAAACCACCTTCGTATTATGCTTGCGCCATTTCCTTCGTATTATGGGAAATTTCTTCGTAAGACATTTAGAGTGTACACAGTAATCATGCAAACAGCTTCCGTGCGTATCTGTGCATGCATGATTGTGCGTAAAAATAAGTCCAGAAGAGCTTCGTGTGTGTGCGGTGAGTAATTAATTACTCACTCCAGTTTTCAGTGTGCTGACCTTGTGCGTATAACGTGACTCACCAGTGAACTGGACGGGCATGTTGTTCCACATCTGGAACAACCTGACGGTGAGCTTGCCGAAGTTCTCCTCGATGGGGACCGTCACGACGTCCTCAGGATGCCCCTGGCGCCACACGGCCAGCTCGCTGGCACGTCGCTGCACCTCCACGGCCACCTCGCCGGAGGGCAGGTCGTACACGTAGCCGTGGGAACCCTGCGCACGCATCAGCCAGGCGTTAACCGCATTAAGTATTTAGAGCACGCATCAGCGAGGCGAAATCCTAAGGAACTATTCCAAACTATAGTCGTTCCAGCCAAAGGTAGGGATTCTGGTGACCGTTAAAATAACCCCCTCCACCTCGAAAGTCCGCCCGCACCAGCCCCCGCGCTCCCCCTGGCCCTGTGGAGGGGGTATTTGTAACGGTTGCAAGAATCCCTTCCTTTGGCTGGGACGACTATATTAATAGAGTTGAAGAGTTAAGAGTGTAGCGTCGCGTTAAGCCGGCCCGGCGCCGCCTCTGCGTCTAGGGGTTGCACTCACCGACTCCTGCCGGGCGCACTCCTTGCCGGAGAGGTTGCACCCCGTCCACGTGGAGGTGCCAAGCCTGCCGTCGAGGTAGTGGCCGAACACCGCCACGCGGTTGCAAGAGTCGGTGCCGCACAGCAGAAGCTCCACGCTGTTGTCGTCGGAGTAGGAGAAGTGCTTCGTGTACTGCGCCTGGACCAAGACCGTGGCGTTGACGGGCAGGGCCGCGCTGGGGATACCTGCGGACAGATAGGCGGGTCACTTTCGGGCTCCAAGAGTCACACTCAGACAATCAAGAAGCTCGGGAGTGAAGGGTATGGCACGCTACCTGCACTGTGAGATTCTTACGCACAGTAAATTGAAATGGCAGAATCCGTAACGGCTCGGCACAGAAACCGCCAGTTAATGATTCTGAATTCGGTAGTCACAGAAACTTAAGGCAATGGTTACGATTACATGCATCATCCAGGTGTGCATGGCAAGCAGGCTTTGACCTCGTCTTGGATGGAGCCTATGCCCCGCAAGCTTATCCTATAAAGCGTGCTTGCCAAAGCACACCTTCTTTGTTTTGTGATCATCTCCTAGGCGGAGCGTGCCAGGCTCTCTTTCTCGAGCGCCATTCCTCGCCCACTCACCATCGCAGCCAAGCTCGTCGGAGCCGTCACGGCAGTCCCGTTTACCGTCGCACCTTCTAACGGCCCGGTAGCACTCTTTGCGGTCACCGCAAACCAACTCGTTCATCGTGCACCACGGTCCATCCTGCACCACCGCTGCAACAGAGAGGTTAGTTTTCTAGAGATCCTGCTTGCGATGAGGTCCGGGTGGAGGCTGGCTCGTTCAAGAGTGGCTCAACATTGCCACTGTTTCGTTAACATTGTGGTAATAAGTTTACGTTCCCTGGGTCCAAAATAAGCTCCACGCCACGCATCTACGTTAGCCTCAACATTACAAACCTAGCTGTCTACTTGGTACACACTTACAAATTCGTGCTTGGCTCTATAACTACATGCCACTACATGCAATTGCAAGTGTGTGTTTACTTGACAGGTTTGTCTGCCGAGAGAAAGCAACCTCGGAAACTACTCAAAACAAATTCTGCCCTTCGCGCCACACTCTGGAAACGTTACAAATTATTTAAGACCGTCCAAAGAGAAGAAGCTTGTTATAACGAAGTATTTTGAACATACATAAGCTCAAAGAAAACACTTTGCATTTTACGAACTACACTGCAAATCTTAAGGCGTACACCAGTTTGTCCTACGCTTGCAAGTGTCGACCAGCTGTGTCCGACGCTCTGAAGTGTCGACCACACTCTGTCCGACGCCTGCATGTGTAGGACACTGTTTGTCCTACGGCAAATTACACTGACTGAGTTTCCTATTGTGGCCCCACACTTCAGCCGTCGGACATGCTGTGGCCGACACTTGCAGGCGTCGGACACAGTGTGGTCGACACTTCAAAGCGTCGGATACAACTGGTCGACACTTCCAAGCGTAGGACGAACTGGTCTACGCCTTAAAGTGTCGATCTGTCCTACACTTGGATTTGCAGTGCATTTCTTCATAACAAATTACTCTTCAAATCGAAGAGCGTACGTTGTATGCTCTAACTGGAGCATGCCTGTAAGAACGCTCTAGCTAGCGCATGCCTGCCAAGCATGCACTTACTATTGCATACACGCCATGTACACGCTTATTCCTGATGCAGACAACTCCCTATCCCTTATGCACTAGATGTATGCTTCAGTTAGCGTGTACATGGCATGTATGCACTTGTAAGTGCATGCTTGGCAGGGGCATGCGCTAGCTAGAGCGTGCCTGCAGGCATGCTCCAGTTAGAGCATACAATGCACGCTCTTCGATTTGTAGAGTAAATAGTTTGTACCTTATGTTCAAAATCCTTCGTAAAGGTAAGCGCGCACTCACCTGCGTGGACACCAATCTGCGCCGCCACTGCGCAAAGCAGCACTGAGAGCACCAAGAGCCTGGCCATGTTGACGGAATGATGCACAGCAACCGTGGGCCTCATCTTTTATACTCACACCACCCGCCGCTATCTCGAGTGGCTCGCCTGATTTCGCTGCGGGGCTACCTATGGCGTGACCCTCTGCTCACTCAATAATCGCTACTTATAATGCTACGTTTTCCCTGAAATATGAGATACCTCTTGAACTTTGCATTAATCGTTCGCGTGTGGGGCGATTCATAGACGTGACGAGCCTCTGTTCAAGAGGTTTCATTATAAGTACAATATGTAAAGAATGGAATTAAGGGCGCTTGCAGACCTGAGGATTAGTTCATAGGTAGTTTTTTTGTGATGAGCGAGCACAAACCGAAGTTGCCGTGTTCTTTTTGACCATAGTGCCCAACGCATTAAATAATTACGTTTTTTTGTGCTTACCTTTACAAAATTATTGATCGTGAAACGCACATATCCATTTGCATCAACACAGTTTCGTGCAAAGCTTGGGGACGAAACCAATGCATTTTGGTGTGAACAGAATTCCAAAGTTTCGTAGAAATCGGCTATTGACACCCAAACGTCCCCTTGATGTTTTCCGGAGCGGACAACAGAATGAAACAAATAAGTATTGAATTGCTGGAACATTTTTATTCGATCTTTATATGAAGTGCACCATTTAAGGCCAATCTCGTTAGTAAGTAGTAGCTGCACTCTCATGCCAGGAACGTGACATCACGTTGAAACGAATGAGACAAAATGTCCCGTTCCTTTGAGCAATGTGTCACATTCATTTAAACGTGAAGAAGCTTTGTGGCTGATTTATGACCAAACGAATGTCACACAATGCTCAAAGGAACGTGACGTTCTTTCACATTCATTTCAACGTGATGTCACTTTCCTGGGATGTGAGCGTGGCGATGCGATTGTTCGCTGAGAATCGAAATCTCTCGATTCATCGTAGTATTCTGGAGTCAAAGCATCGCAAACTAAACGAGGGGTCGAGCTCCTCCCATGCCGAGGCCGTACGGCTGAGAAGCCGCAGTGCGCAAGTAGAAGGTACCAGTGTGGTTCCTGAGGTTCAGTGAGAAAAAACCATTGAAATCGTTAATGTCCGACAGGCTATGATACACGAAACGAAACAATACCAGGGTCGTTACGACGACAGTTTGCACTTGTGACTAAAACTTAAAAACTGTAACAGCTAGAACCAAGGGAAATGCTTTTCCTTGGTGATAAAAGCGTGCCGGAGTACAGTGCGCGTGTGAACGAAGTCTAAATTCTGCTTCCCTGAGTTCTGTTATTTTTGGGGCCTATGTTAACAAACCTCAGGGATGCGGATTTGGACTTGATCCATATGGGAACAAAACGCCTCGATCACCAAGACTTGCTGGAACTGCTTTCGAGTCATAAGTGAAAACCCGTATGGGTTGTCGTAACGGCCCTGGTATTGTTTCGTTTTGTGTACCATCCTTGATGTCCAAAGTACCTGCTCATTACAAGGACTTCCAAAAAATGGAAAGGAATGAGAGCCAATGCAGACGTTCAAAACAAATCGCTTTTCTGACGACTCACGTGTCGGCTGCGGCGTAGCCCATGTACACGATGTTGTTGTCGTCGACGGGGCAGGACCCGCTCTGGAAGGCGAGCCAGGAGGGACAGCTGACGGCGGGGAAGGCAGTCTCGCTGTTGACGGACTCGGCGAAGAAGCGCCAGGACCGCTGGTGACTGCAGAGCGTCAGCGCGTTGTAGAAGTCCGTCTCGCCGAAGCGACAGCCCGGCTGCGGGCGGCGGCCGCCGTTGGGCCAGAAGTCGATGGTGCCGTCGTTGCCGTCGTAGCCGTTGAAGCCCGCGTCGGTGTGGATCACGTCCACCAAGACGGCGTCGTCGCGCGACAGCTGGGGGATGGCCGGATTGGCGGACACGGCGGGGTCGAGCCCTGAAAACAAGGGGAAATCACTGAATTTTAGTGTACAAATCCAATGATTTTCAGTTGAATTTCGATTAATTTTAGGCAAAACCTACGAAACTTTGAGAAGTATTTAAATGAATTTTAATAAATTTTGATGAATTTCAATTAATTTTACATGTTTGATGAATTTTGGTGTACAAATTTGGCTGGAGTTACACTGCTACTGCCAATCCAAGCGTGGACCAGGTCCACGCTTCAAGGCGTGGACCATTTTCGTCCACGCTTTGAAACGTGGACCACTGGTTGGTCCGCTTTGAAGCGTGGACCACCTCTTGGTCCACGCTTGGCAAGCACTTGAAAGCGTGGACCAAGAGGTGGTCCATGCTTCAAAGCGTGGACCAACCAGTGGTCCACGTTTCAAAGCGTGGACCAAGCGGTGGTCCACATTTCGAAGCGTGGACCAAAATGGTCCACGCCTTAAAGCGTGGACCTGGTCCACGCTTGGATTAGCAGTGTATGTCCCATTGCCTGTGAAGAACAGGGAACACACCAGAGGCCGGAATCAGGACCCGTTGTCGAACCCCTGCCGCTCGCCTCCACCGCAGCGACACTGTGCGAGAGAGAGGCCCGAGAAAGCCGAACGGTGGATACCGATGCTCCGAAGGTTACCGAAAGAGCCGAACGCGTCCGTCGCCAACGGGTCCCGTTGGCCAGATCAGCCCACGAAGAAATATTTCGTAAATTACGAAGCACTTTTTTCGTAAGCTTGTTTTAACGAGCTACTTTTCTTTGTGTGCAGAGGTGTGCAGAGTGAAAAATTGAGTAATTGCAATAAACATGATATTTTGAGCGAAAGGGTAACGACTGGCTGACAGCAAACTGGTAACCCGCATTGTGGATTTTCAGAAATTTGGAGGTAATCCTGTGTATACCGGTGTGCAATTTACCAATCTTTACCCTCTCGGTTTTTTTTTTGGTGGGGTTGGCGGGTGTCTCTAGTCTAGTCTACAGGGAAGGTACCGAACGCCATACACTGCGAGAAAAGATCACGGTAAATCCTGTACTGATTACTCCAGACATCACCGTACTTTTTTTAACAGGCAAAACCGTCGCTCTTTTTACAGGCAATACCGTACTTTTTTTACAGGCAACACCGTACTTTTTTTACAAGGAATCCCGTACTTTTTTACCCGGCAATCCCGTACCCGTACAAAAACTGCTATAATTTATTTCAGTCGGTCGACCCTCGTTTTTCAAGATTCTGATGTACATAACTGCTGAAGTCGGACTCCTGGACCCCCCTTCCGACCACTCGTTGAAAAGGTCTTGACGAGACCTATCGAAAGGTGCAATAAAATTTTTCAGTCGGTCGACCCCCTTTTTTCAAGATCCTGATGTGGACAATTCTTGGGAGCGGCCTTTGTTGGGACCAGATCTGGTCCTTCCTACGGCATGCACTGTACGAAAGAACGGTAACCACTGATAAAAAAAACGTTAACGCTAACGTGAAAGCAGATGATACTTAAGAGAATGTTTATTGGTGACATTTTGTCAATTTCTTTCAAAGAGTAAACACTCGGAACTCTTTTTTTGACAAATTTCTTTCACATGGTAATTCATGAAAATGTCAATTTTAGTATAACTTTTGAATATCCTAACGTGCCATTGTTTTGTGTTAAACATGTTCACAATGACGGTGGGACACTCACATGTCCGATACCACTTGTGTTGGGTATCATTTTCGTTGTTTCAACGCGAGGATGCACAATTTGGTGGCTAATCACATAAATACTCAATACCCGTAAAAGTTGTGTTCGGTACTAGGCCAAGGCGCCTTGCGGCACGCGGCGTGTCAGCCACATCTCCAAGCGGGGCCGGCCGGCCGGCGCGCCACCCGAACCCGACCTCAAGATAGATAAGCAAGAGTGGCGCACACTGCCGACTGCCGACGCGCCGCTTCTCGAGAGGGGCAGGGGTTCGGGGGGCGCTGCACTATGCGTTCTACGCACTCAAGGCTCAAGTGCGTGTGTGTGTAGACTGCTGCGGGGTGTGGCGGGGCGCGGCGGGACGTGGCGTCTCGGCAGGGGAATGGGCGAGGGGGCAGCTACGCGATGCGTGCTAGCAGCGTCTCATGACGACGCGCAACGCGAGGGACGCACTTCTTGAGTACTAGAGAGCTGGGTGTCGAGGTTATACGCCGCGCGCGCAACCCGAGCCCCCGCAGCCGCCCCGATTCATGGTGCGGCGCGCGGCGCGGCGCGGCACGCTGAGGGCCCTCCGCTCATAATCTTCTAGGCAGGCCAGCCAGCCGCTGCCTTGCCAGCGAGGCGCTCGGCCTCTTCTAGGCTTGCTAGTCAGGCAACGTGGCAACTGCTGCCTGGCTAGCCGGAAACTCGGTACCGTCAAGTCCCCTAAATGTGGACACGAACCCTAAAGTGGGACATTTTGATTATTTTCCCTATTTTAGGCTGTAAACGGCCAACGCGTGGATATTTTGCGAGGTAAAAAATGTTTTTGAGACGGTAGGACCCCTCCGAGACCATATCCGCAGAGAGTGTCTTGTTCCCGCTCATACCCCCTCCCCGAAAAAATCTTGAAAATTGGAATTTGATGCAGAAAAAAAGAGAAGTTTTTTCAGACGTCTAGCGCGGATTCGGGGCTTCGAGCCGTTGATGCTCGGACCATTCTAGACTTCAGACATGTTGTAGCGCGTTCTTTTATCTACAAGATGCACTTTAGAAAATTTGTTTCCGATGCTTCGTTTTACGGTGGGAAGCAATCTTCTAAGGAGCTGCAAAGTGGGACACATGAATTTTCTTCGTTTTTTTAAGGTTTTGACCGATTCAGAGGCGTTGCATTCACCTCCAGCGTCCTACAAACGCCGCCTGGCCTATATTAGGTTGCCAGGTCGGTTTGGAGGCCCAGGCAGTCGCGCAAGTACGGTTCGGTACGCTTTAAGCCAGCACAAAATTTAGTTAATGTTTGAAAGCAAATGCTTCCTCTTGGCTTTACCGACAAAGATATCGTTATCGACCATAAAACAAACCGAGGGGGCCACCACTCTCATTTCAGGCGTACACAAGATTACGGGATTACGGAACATTTACCAGGGATTACGCGTGAAATTTTCGAAAATTGGTTCGAAAACATTGAAAAATAGCTCAGAAACGTTGAAAAATGACTAAAAACGTTGAAAAATGACAGAATTTTGTCAAGGATTACGTGATTACGCCATGGATAACCAGAGATTACCAGCCAATTTGTACTCAGGATTACGGGGGTGGTGGCCCCCTCGAAACAAACCTTGCGTAAAAATATTTTTTGAACAAAAAATGTTTTAGAAAAAAGTTGCAGGGCGAACGGTTTTCAAATTTCAAAATTTCAACCTCTAATTCTTGCCGTGCATTTCGAAGCTTATAAAATACGACCTGAGCAAAAAATTTCATAAAATGCTTTTGGTCAGAAATTAAATTTTAAGGCCAATTTGTTTTATTGGTTTTCGCCGTATTTCAATTGGTTTAGGCGTTACGGTGGTTTCTAATTTAAATATATCTAGGAAATCTTATTGATTGAAGAGGCTCATATCTGCTTAACCAGTCGAGATATCGAAAAAGACTTCAGAACCAATCTTGCCTCAAATTAAATTTAGAAAATAATACATTTTATGAAATTTTTTGCTACTGCAGTTTTAGGGCGAAAAAGATTGAACGTGTCCCACTTTAGGGGACTTTGTCCCACTTTAGGAGACTTTGGCTCCTAAATTGGGACACGGTTCTTGCTGCTCCTACTGGAGCCCTATGGGCTGAAATTTTTTTTTGTTTTCGGTAAAAGACGTGTTTTGACATGAGGATTCTTAAATCCCCGGCGATTTTCGGTGTCATCGTTATTCTGTGAATAACAGACGATTTTCCGTAAAAATCGTTCCACTTTAGGGGACTTGACGGTACTCTCTGCACGAGAGTACAAGCACGCTGATACGTGAACGTATCATCTGCTAAAAAGTACGGAATATTTTGTAAAACAAGTACGGAAAATACTGTAGACTGTACGGTGGATACTGGTTTTTGAAGTACGGTAAAGTTTGGCAAAAAAATTATCCAGGATTTACCGTCATTTTTTCTCAGAGTGTAGGGCCCGGCCCCAACTTTTCAACCCCTCTCGAGTTCCTTCGCAATCGCCCAGCCAACAATTTTTACAGTCACTGTTGACAATTGTTGCAGACTATCTTAACGTGTGCATGTACATGTGCACAATCATGTACTGAAAATTCGGACTGACTCTGTTCCGAAAATTTTAAACTGAAACAAATTTTATTGCCGTTCAGTCATAATATTAAGCTTGTCCTTTGTACTTTAAGATACAAATCTATCATAATACAGATACATCGTAATTTGGTCATTAAGTTATTGAGAACTCGTCAACATAGGTTACTACGTTCGCTGTGCTGTCATAATACTAGGCTATGTGTTCATACTTCGAAGAAAAAGACAGTAGGATCTTGGGAGTGAAAAAGGCTGCTCGGGCTTGACTTCGTGCCGTGGGCATCCCATGACAAGCTAAATCGTGCTTTATAGAAATCACGCCAATTTTCGGCGTGACTCACCCGTCATGCCAATTTTTACCAAAAACCTTACCCTGAAACATATACTACCTTGGAAGCAAAACCTGGATATTCGTCTCGATTTATATTTCTTTGGAAAGTGATGTCAATATGACTCGAATCCCATCTGGAATGGCCTGTGTATCATTCTGGGTTTCTCAATTCTAGTATGGATTTCAGACTCGTGGATATTGAAATCTACCGGGTCTGTGTTCGGAGGGAGTCATTTTCAAAAGACCTTACCCGAGGGGGCAACTAATCGTGGTCCTGTGTACACTTGATTTGCCGAGATCTTGCGCGAAATCGGTAGAAATCTCACGACATCCTTTCGAAATCTGGTGAAATCTCACGAAATCCCATGAAAATCTGGTGAAACGTCGCGAAATCCCACCAAAATCTCGCGAAATGTGGCATAATTTTGACGCAAAATCCTGCGAAATCTTGCGAAATCTTGATGAAATCCCTACCTTTGAAGAATACTGTGTAAATTTCGAGTGGTTGCCCCCTCGACCTTACCCTATCATTTTTAATAAAGGTTCTTATCCTGTCGTACCTTTAAGTTTTTTTTTTTTATTTTAAAAAACGTAGAAAAATAGGTTTTTTACAACATATTTCCTTCCCAAACATCTCGTAATTTAAAAAAACCATTTCTGATACTAATGAGGGGCAACCAACTTCGTCAAAATTTGTACACCGTTATTTTAAATTCACGTTATTTCACGTTATTTCATTGTTATTTCAACGTTATTTCGAAGGTATTTCAACGTTACTTCGCGCTATTTTCAGTTATTTCGCGTTATTTCAAGGGCAGTGTACACCAAAATTCAAGTTGTTTGCCCCGGATAGTATACACTGGGAACGATAAATAAATACTGATAGTACGTACCAGTCGTGCCGTGAGTCACGACAGGCGCCTTATAAAAGTCTCAGCCGTCTTTCACTAACTATCCCACCGCCAACATGTGCAAATTTGCAGTAATTTTCGTCAGCGTGGCTACCCTGGCTGCAGTCCTGCCTTATGCCGTAAGTATTTCGTACCACACTCTAAATGTCTTACAATGAAATTTGTCCTATGTTATTCGTATGTTACAGTGAATTCGGCGCAAGCATAATACGAAGCAATATTCCTTCGTAATACGAATCATTTTAGCTTTTTCATTGTAAGATACAAAGAAAAACCTTCGTTATACGAAGAAAAACCACCTTCGTATTATGCTTGCGCCATTTCCTTCGTATTATAGGAAATTTCTTCGTAAGACATTTAGAGTGCAAAGCGCAGTTTGTCCCGAATTGAATTAATGGTTCCGATCTTTGGAAATCGGCTTCAGCCAAATCATTCTTCATAGTGACAAAGTAAACGAAGCGGAAACATTTCAAAGATTTATCACGGAAGTTTTTTTTATACTAACCCGCACAGTTTCCTCGAATTTATTGCGAAATCACGGTCAGATCTGAATTGAAAGTTCATCTGCGCTTAAGACGATAGACAACATATGCCAAAAATCAGAGACATTCGCACCTTATGTAAATGTGAGACACTGCTGATTTACCCCTCTTGCCCTGTGCCACACAGACTGCGACCCTTGAATCGTCAAAAGCGGCGCTTGTCGCCGCGAAGGCCAATCTGCAGAACGCCAACCAGATCACCTTCACTGAAAAAAGTTGTCGTAATTTTACGACATATTTGGCGATGAATGCTTCATAATTTTATGAATGGCTCGTTTCATGCTCACTACGAAAAAATCATAAATGAGCAATTATGAACCTTTCATATTTTGGTTGAAAAATGTGCCTGAAAATGCCCAAAAGGTATTCAGATTTTACGAACCATTCATAAAATAATGAACCATTCATCGTTCAATTGTTCCTAAATTTACGATTTTTAAATGGGAAAATAGTGTACAAGAATGGCTCATGTAAAACTTTACGAAACATTCATAAATTTATGAACGATTCGTAAAATTATGAATTACTCATACTACATTATGAAACATTCGTAAAATTACAAATGGCTTGTGATGCTGTTACGTAAAAATTGGGGAATGAAACATTCATTTTGGGGTGTTTATGAATTATTCATTTATTCAATGAAGCATTCATAAAATAATGAGTGTTTCATAAAAATAATGAATCATTCGTCGTGAAATTATTCGTAAAATTATGAATTTTATGTGGGAAAATACTATACAAGAATGGTTCGTAATATTACGACTTTTTTTCTCTCAGTGTTCGCCCAAAACCCGAACGCCCTGACCGGCTGCACCAACCAGCTCAAGAAAAGCACCGACAGCGTCATTCTCACTCAGTTCATCAATGGCTGCGCGGCCAAAGCCCTGGGCCACACAACCAAGACCATGCTGCTGAAGCAAACCCTGACGCTGTTCATCGGCGAGGCGTTGGCCACCCCCTCCACCATTGAGGGGCTGGACCGAGCCGCGCAGATTGTCGCGTGTTCTATTGCTGCTGCCCCTCACGGCAGCAAACACTGAATAAAGTACCGCTCACTTGTGTCGCTGATGTGATCCATTCACATTACCGCACCCGTGACAGCAATTAAAATTATCACGTAAAAAATACCATGATATTTTCGTAGACTTTGGCCGGTTTTGGCCCAGATTGTCACATTTTTGTGAGTGTAGTCGTTTTGACGTGAACGTACCCGTCATCCTGTTGAGCGTGAAGTTGATGTTCCCTGCCAAGTTGCCGCAGAGCTGGCCGCCCAGGGAGTGGCCGATGGGCCAGAAAGTCTCCGGAGAGAGGCCCGCATCCACCATGCGCATCACTGCGGCACCCACTGCCGCACCCACCTGCCGCACCGAAGACGAAAGATACAAGTATGCAGATGCAGGGCGGGCGATGCAGGAGGGTTGGTCGAATCGATTACGATTTAAGTCGAAAATCGATTCAAGGAGTTGATTTTCGATCCAAATCGTAATCGATTCGACGTGTCGATTTAATCGAAAAAATCGATTTAGGCGATCGATTTTCGATTTACCTTAAATTTGCGCTATTTTCGCTCATTTGGCGCTCTCAGAGAACTCAAACTGCGGCGATTTTGGTGAAATTGAAGACTAGGAATCATTTACCACCAAGTTCAAGATGTAATCATTCAAAAACAAGGCCGTTCAAGTAATCCGATACCCCCCTGCAACAAGCAACTATCTACGCCCACTGTCTCGATAACCGACTATCTACGCGCGCTCTCCCGACAACCGGCTATCTACACGAGCTGTCTGGATAACCGTCTATCTGCTTTCTCCACCTCGCGAGATTGAATGCTTTTATTTATCCAACCAATTAAGTTGCCCTCGCAAAACCTTTACCAAAACTTGTCAAAAGTTTTGTCAAAGCAAGATTAAGTATGGTTTAAACGGGTCGCTTTAAGTGTCATGGAGAAAAATACTTCGTTGTACGACAACCCTAACCTCGCTACGATGTTGGATAGTCGGTTATCCAGACAGCCCATGTAGATAGCCGGTTGTCGGGAGAGCGCCCGTAGATAGTCGGTTATCGAGACAGTGAGCGTAGATAGCTGCTTGTTGCAGGGGAGTATCGAATCGTGCTGCTGTGCGTGGGGAGAACATTGCAAATTACGTCAAATCATGGCCGGCCATTGTATTACTAATAGGGAGGACCCACACGTTTAGAAAGCCGCCAACAAATTTAAGCCCCATTTCTACGCATTTCAGAGGCACGGTGGTAAATTTACCGAGATAGCTGTTGACACCAATTGAACACTGTGTTCTTTCCAGGAATATGTAACTTCAAATAAAGGATTTGTATGGCTTCGTAAGGCATACACCATGTAAAGTTGCAAAAAAGTCGGCAAGGGCATACTTTTACCTTCTTTACCGTCGTATACATTTAGACCAGGATTGTGAAGAGTGACTCGCACAAGCACAGCATCTAATCTGAGCCGCAGGCATGTAAAAACGCAATTTCCTGAGAAAGGCAGAATCGAAAATCGAAAGTTGAAAAATCGATTTATCATGTTAAAAAATCGATTTTGGAAAAAATCGATTATTTTGTTACGATTCGTGAATCGACGAATCGAAAATCGATTCGAGTGGCGAAAATGACAACCACGCTCTGCTCACCGGAGTTCAGCGTTCCCGGCAGCTCCACCGATTCGCGCAATCACACTTTTATTTCTACGTAAATTTTTGGGCATGGCTTTTGACGGAATTGAGCGCACGTTTCGCATTGCACGAATTGGTGCCTCGGCATGAAAATGTACGTTGTTATGCGCGAATTCGTGCATTTAGCGCGTAGGCCAAATTCTTCGCAAAGCTTTGAACCGCGAACAAAAAAACTACACCAAAATTTAGTGCCTGAGTAAAACTTTCAGTCTTCAACCCACTGAACCGTGCTACACACTTAATCCTTTTCACACTCTAGTTGATGGAATCCTTGTCAGTTCGAGCACGAGAGTGTATTTCTACTAGACAACAATTCGACATGTGGTCTAAATAATGCAAACATACGGCAGGAAGGCGCTGGTATGAGGTGAAGTACGGACCGGCGACGTAGGGACCCCAGTCCAAAAGGATGAAGTTATGTGAGCCACGCTGGAGGAAAGCTGGAAAGGAGCGGATACAATCTTATTTCCTTTCGAACTATTACTAAACGGCCACAGTATTTCAAACTGCAATACCTTCTGTCTATTACTGCAATGTTTTGCAAAAGTTGCAATTGTACTGGTACTATTATGTAATAAGAGTATTTCAATTACGCAATGATTAAGTACAAGCCATAAAAAATATGGCATCAATATTTGCAATGAAAGAGTTACACAGTCTCTTTCTTCGGAAAAATTAAAGGGCGGTTCTAGCAAAATATTGCGATGATTATATAACATTGGATCCCAGGTTGCGATAATCGTAGGAATAGCAAACGCAATTTTGAAGCAAAAATTTGTTGTAGAAGGCTGAAAAAAATACAAACCAATGTGACGCAATGCTCTAAGGTTTGTGACATTTTGTCACATTCGTGTCAACGTTATGTCTCATTACTGGGATGAGAGGGTGCTAGGAAACTGACCCTAACCGCATACGGTAGTTATCACAATTTTTTTAAGTTTAACACGTTGTTCATTTAAATTGTACACTGTAAAAAAATTTCTCGTAAAATAACGAAAAATTTTTGGGTAATTTTCTTTTACGAACTGTTCGTAATTTTACAAAAATGTCGTTTATATACGACACATGTCGTATATTTTCGAAATGTTTTCGGCCCATTGTCAAGATTTTCAGCTTCAACAAGCGTGCTGTAAAAAAATTTCCAAAAAAAATTTTTTCTTCGTTACAACAACTGTTTCAGTTCAAAAAGTTTACGAAATGTTTTCATATATAAACGACAACTTCGCAAAAGAAAATTACCCAAAAAATTTTCGTTGTTTTTGGACAATATTTCGTAAAGCCTCACTGAACTTAACATTTCGTAGTGATATTGTCTGTAAATTCGCCAATTTGGGAAGATTTCCCTCTCTTTACGAAGTGATTTTGTAGGATTACGATACATTTTGTAATGATTTTGTATAATTGCGATACATTTTGTAAATTGACAAAACAAACCTTTTTTTATGAAACATATCGTGTAGTAATATTTCGTAAATTCACGACATTTTTTACAGTGTACCCTGTGAAAACCTTACAAACTATTTTTGGCCTTACAAAGAAAATCACCTTGTTATAACAAAGTATTTTGAGCATACCTAAGCTGACAAAGTAAATACTTCGTAATTTACGAACTGAGGCCCGAGGCCCATTTCTTCGAATAACAAATTAAATTAGTTTGCACTATGTATGCTCAAAATACTTTGAAAGGTTTTAAGCGTGTAGCTTTTGGTGACCTGGACCAAAGATTTTACCTCTGGACATGACACCCGCACTCTCGCTCTGGTTGGACTCCCTCCAGCCGTGCACGTAGAGGGCGGTGGGCTTGTTGGTATCGAAAGACGGGTCCGCCGGCAGGTCGGACGCATTGGCGATCGGGTAGCTCAAATTTTGGGAGTTCCTTTGGTGACAACAGTTCTACTTAGCAAAGCATGGCCGAGCACCCTAAGTGTCTAACAGCTGAAGACTGCACCCATATTTTACAGCGGAAATTCTCTCCATTACAAAAGAAATTCCGCAAAATATCAATAACGCACAATAAACTTTCGAAGTCAACTGTACCGACATAATAATGAGAATTTCCACCAAAATATAGATTTCTTTTCTATACGAATTTTAGAAAGAATGCAACTCAATTTTTATTCCTACGAACACGGTACTCACGTGTAGAGGATAAAGTGGATCAGGGGGAAGGCGTTCTCCGGCGTGCCGCTCTGCGCTGCCGCTGCAGGAAGACAGCTCGGTAAGGCAAAGAATTACAGAAGAATGGAGAGGAAACCTCGTATGAAGCGAATAACTGACCTCCAAGGACCACCGCAGACAGACAAAGAAGGGTCGACTGCATGATGCGACAGTTTCGCGCGGCACACACGGCACACCTTAGAAGAATAGGACGCGAGTGTAGGTGCACTTTTTAGACTTTTACTTAAAATTAACTAGCTATAACTTCTTAGACCACACTCTAAATGTCTTACAATGAAATTTGACCTATGTTATTCGTATATTACAGTGAATTCGGCGCAAGCAGAATACGAAGCAATATTCCTTCGTAATACGAATCTTTTTAGCTTTTTCATTGTAAGACACAAAGAAAAACCTTCGTAATACGAAGAAAAACCACCTTCGTATTATGCTTGCGCCATTTCCTTCGTATTATGGAAAATTTCTTCGTAAGACATTTAGAGTGCACTCAAGAGAGACTACAACCACAAACCTGAAGTTCAGACAGCGTTTCCTTACAGTTCTTTTGACCACAATTACTGCTAGAGGTGTACATTGGACACTCTAAGTGTCTTACAGTGAATTGCAGCACCAACGGTGAAAATTTTCTCCGTGATGAAAAGAAATTCAACAAAATATGTATAGGGTACAACAAACTTTCAAAGGCAAGTTGCAACGTCAGCTGCACCACCGTAAAATGGAGAATTTTCATCATTTATAGGCCTATCGAGAATCTTCACTGTAGGGCATATAGAGAGTGTCCTGTTTGCATGCATGGCGCGCGCAAACAGCTCCCAACTTATATGCCGTACCCAGGTAAACCCTGGAAGCCTATAGTAAAAACACTCTCAACGTGACATAACGTTGAAACGAGCGTGACAAAACGCCACGTTCGTTTGAGCGTTGTGTCACATTCGTTTGGATGTGAATCGGCCAAAAATTAGCTTGTTCACATTCAAACGTACGTGACACAATGCTCAAACGAACGTGACATTTTGTCTCGTCCGTTTCAACGCGATATCACGTTCCTGGAATGAGAGTGAATATAGACGATCTCCAGGGAGTTGCTGCGAAAGCCAGGAACACTGTTGGTCATGTAATGTTCCTCATGTAAAGCGCGCACCTTCTTACTGCTGCACTCCCAGTGTGGATGTCCTCCTCCGCCGGGTAGTTGCCGATGTTCCCAGACGTCGCTTTTAACCTCGCCGCACACCGTTGGGCCGTGCGTCAGGCGACTGGCGCCAGGAGGGCAGATATGTAGTGGCACTACTTCCCGGCCGTCGGGGGCAACTACATGCAGCGTAGATAGCCGAGCCGGTTCCCCGGTGCCCAGAAAAGCCTGCTCTCGCCCCTAGAGTATGGTGTTGCCTGCAAATTACCCCTGGCTCGCGATTTTGTCGAGCGAATGCCCTAGTCAGTTGCTCGTCCGATCGCTGAAACAACATGAGGTTCAGAACCACGGACAGCTCTATAAATGGCCAGAACCGACCTTTCGACTTTCCTGAGCTATTTTCATGTTTTGGGGTAGTTTCGATGCCGCGTTTGCCTTAAGGTAAAACTAAAAACAACCGTTTCTTTAAATTCAGTTTTCGTGTTCTCCAAGAAGGGACCTAGTGATAGAGGCCCTCACGGAGTGGCTGTGCTTCAGCCCCAGTTTCAGCAAAGCAGGACGAAGTAGAAATTATTTAGCTACCGGGTAGCTTACTGATTCCCGGCACTTCCCTAACAGCGCCCAATGCACCAAGGCATTGAATTGCACATAAAAGGTAACACATTTTAGACGCATTTAATGCGATTGTGCGCATCAAATGCGCATTCAGTAAGTGCACATTAAAGACGCCTAAAATGTGTTACCTTTTATGTGCATTTCAATGCGCATCCCCGCTTTAAATGCGCTTTGACGCAAATTGGCGCTATGGGGGTTACGAAGTAGATGTTTTTGTCGGCATTTCCCATCCACTGCCTTGGCAAAGCAGTATCGTGACCTTAATTGTCGTGTTTTTGCCCTCAGAAAGGCAGCAGAGGTTTCCCACCTATCGTTCTAAATCGCCTGCGAAGCATGCCTGGGCTAGCCCGCATTGTAAGAAAGCCGAATGGGTTGCCTAGCGACCAGGCGCTCCATGCCTAGCCCCGACAGTTCACTGAGAATCCAAACACGCTAGCGTCAATGGTGCAATTGAAACCAGTTTAATCGCACCAATTGGTGCACTGCTTCACTGCTTCTGCATCGCACGCGAACTGCAATGCCTTTCCCATGTACTAGAATTCGCCCATTTTTGGGACGCATGGCATGTAAGATGCAATGCAGCTACGACATTGTACCCGAGGGGTGAATCACTAGTGTACTCATGTGTACAAATTTGCCCGTACTCAGTGTACTCACAAGTTTCAAAAAGGTGAAATTCTCTAGTTTTTCGACTGATTTGACGTCGACTGCCGTTAAGGGGGGACCCTGGTGAAACTTTCAAGTAGGCTTTAAAATAATCCCAGAAAGTTGAAACTTTGCTTGATTATTAGGTTCATTATGGTGAGTTCATAAAACAAAATTCAATCCAAAATGTTGAATGTTCTCTGAGAAAAGTGGCTTTTTAGTGTTTTTTAGAGCGTTGGGGAAAAATCTTCCTGCGTCTTTCATTGGAACGGAAAGTCTTGAAAATTTTTTTGGGTCATCCTTAAGATGTATAGAAGAGATTTTAGTGACGGAATTTTCAATTTCAACTTCTGTCCTGAGATATCGATTTTCAAATTTTAACATTAAAAAAAAAAGTGAATTTTTTGCCTTTTTTTGAAACTTTTAGGTGTGTGTTAAAAAAAGTAGGGCTGATATCAAGATTCCGTCACTAAAATTTGTCGACAAGTCATCAATGAATAGAGTCCATGCAAGACGACTCATGTAGGTGTCAACCAGGAACGCAGGAAGTCTTTCTACGACAAAATTTTTTGTCGACTGAGCAAAGCTGTGAAGTGGAGCGTATAAGCCAACGACAACTGATCTCAATGTTATTTCTTTCCAAATGATAAAGGAACTACCCACATAGTTTAAAGGTGTTCAACCTGTCGAATTTGAAACCTTCGATGCACATTTTTATCTATGAACTTCAAAAATACTATTTTTGGCAGTTTTGGCCATTTTTTCACCAGGGTCCCCCCTTAAAAACGCTAAATAAAGCCTTAAAGCGTTTAAAATTGTGAAATTTATGAGTGAAGCAAGGTGTACTCACCCGTACTCATGTGTACACCAGAACGCCGAGTGATTCACCCCTCGATTGTACCACACGTGCTATTTTCATGGAGTTTGGAATCTCAGAGGAAAGCTCCATTCGAAGTAGGAGACACTTGGCTGAGGAATCACCAAGAAGTGAACCAAACTTAGTTTCTTCTATCAACGCGAACTGCGCGAATCCTCCGGGAGCGAGAACTGACTGACCCGGCTCAGAACCCCAAATATGAATGTCTTTGTTTGGGACTTTGTGGGCATGGAGAATTTTTCACATCAAAATGTTCCCATTATATGCCGCTTGAATGAGACAAAATGACCCCTTTCGAATAATGGCGTTTCGACGGAGTCCATGCGTTGTTCCGTTAGGCCGCAGTGAGACTTCAAAGTTAAAAAGTCGCTCATTTTGACGCGAAGCACATAACGTCATTATGGAAGTGAATTACTGAAGGTAGCGCAAAACACAAAAGGGGTTATCTTGTTCCGTTAACTCAGTCTAGGTGTACACACGGACTCAAAAGAAAGAAGCTTTTATTCACACAACTATTGCGCAAACATTAAACAATAAACAAAACAGTCAGTCACAGTTTCATATCAATAATGATGTTCTTTTAAGTGTGTGAGTAGCGCGAGGGTTTGGTAATACCAACGAACCAAGAATGCAGCACACGACATGAAATGTATGTAAAAGACAAAAGGTAAACAAAGATTCGTAAATTACGCACACATTTCAGCAAGAAACCGTGGCGGGGGTTTGACAAAACATCCTTCCAATATTCCGGTACAAATCAGAAACGTCACACCTTCATCCACTGAAGCCCTGTAGACACAGGTTTGTGAATTTCCATGAGTCCACATTTCTCAGTCTCGAGGTGGGAGAAAAATACGGCCTTGCCACCGACTTTCCAGAAATGGTCTGGGCAGCGAGGGCGGCAGTCCTCGGCGCAGAAGGTGCAGTCTTCTGTCTCTGGGAACAATTCTCGAAGCAGCTCGGAACAGCCACACATTTCGATGACCAAGTGGAGACGCGGGTTGCGCTTCAGAACGCCCGTCACCGCACTGGAGTGGAACCACTCGTGGCTGCAGTCTTCCAGCGAGTACACCTGGAATGATGGCGTATACATCGACTGTTAAAAACTGTTGGGGAAAAGTGTTAATGTGTGACAACAAAGGTACAGTTAAAAATGTGATAAATGGCCGTACTAAAACAGAGGTCCTGCTTCACACGTTTCGTCCTGTTTCAAAAAAGGGAGCGAAAGAAGACTTTTTAAAGTCCTGCTTTAGTCCTGGAAAAGTCCCGATCCAAGCCCGTTTCCCGAGTCGGTAATTTTACGTAACTTCTAAACTTAACTTAAAGAAATACACCAGATAGGATAAATTCATTGTCGTTTCCGAAGTTGTCGGCTGTGTGCACACAGCATCGGAGAAAAGGCAGAAAATGAAGCTTCCATTTTAGTACGGGTGTACAACGAGGATTGTAGAAAGAACGAGGATTGTAGAAAGAACAAGAATTGTACGAGGATTGTAGAAAGAACAAGAATTGTACCAAGTACCAGGTCTGGACTGCACTACAAACCTAACTCTCTACTAAGTACACACTTAAAAATGCATGCTTGCAAGTACACACTTACAAACGCAAGCTTGACGCATGGAGTTATACGGCGTCGAGCATGCGTATGTAATAATTGTGTACTTGCAAGCATGCATTTGTAAGTGTGTACTTGGCCAAGCATGCGTTTGTAAGTGTGTACTTGCAAGCATGCATTTGTATGTGTGTACTTAGTAGACAGTTAGGTTTGTAGCGTGGACTTCACCCATCTTGCCGGTGCCGGTTGCATTGTCACACGCGAGGGGGAAATCACTCGCGTAATAGTCGGGTCACCGATTCCTTGTTTTGCGCGTAATAGTAATAGGGTATAGCCAAAATTTTCTGAATTTTTCGTTATTAGGTTCTGATTTACATGGGTTCATATGGAGCAGGTACGGAACGTTCCGTACTTTTCTCCGTCCCTCCGTACTATGTTTTTCTGTACCATTTCCGTACAAAAGTACGGAATTTTTTACAGTGTACTTGCGTAAATACTAACAAAATGGTGGCAGAAAGTCAGCAACGTGCTGATAGTGTGTGCTCTATCCGAACCCCTCACCTTCAGCTTGACGAGTTCCGGCAGCGCCTCGGGACTGATGGCGTCCAGGAAGGCGTCCGCGGGCGCGGCCACGAGGCTGAGGTGCCTGAGGCTGGTGAGGCGGTCCAGGACGGCGGCCAGGGGTCGCAGCTCGAGCGGCGGGAAGTCCTTCGCGCAGAGGCGATCCTCGTCGTTGGAGCAGAAGTCCAGGGCGAGGCAGCGCAGCGTGGAGGGCCTGGGGGTGGCGCTCTCCCCGGCCACGGACTGCAGCAGGGCGGCGTGCTCGGGCGCGTCCCCGTAAGCGTAGAACTGCAGCTTGAGGCGCGTGAGCTTCGTCGAGGTGGCCACTCGCAGGTACGCGCTCACGGCAGCGCGGCGACTGGCACCCTGGGGGGACTGCCAACAGGCATGTTGCACACTCTAAATGTTGTACAGTGAAGATTCTCCATATTATGGTGAAAGTGTTCCATATTATGGTGGTGCAGATGACTTCGTAACATACCATTTGGAATTCACTGTACCTTATAGATATTTTGACGAATTTCGTTGGTATTATGGAGAAATCTCCACCATAATATTATGTTGGTGCAACCTTTCACCGTAAGACACTTACAATGCACTAAACTGCGCACACTTGTTGAAAAAAAATGTGCGATTTCGAACTTTGTCTCACGCAAATTTTTGACATGTGAACCCTTTCGTACAAATTTGTACGCGAAATTTCACAAACTCGTGTGAAACTGCAACGTAGCTCTGAAATTTTGAGTGTGCGTACGAAAAGCACGGCACGAGAGCTATGTTACAGTGAAATGGGCACGTGAGAGCAGTGTGACTTATTTCTTAAATTCAGTAAGGTTTTCCGTGAGTTTACAAAGAATGTCCGTTTTCATGCGGAAGTTCGGAAGTTCCATCGGCAACAGTTCTTCCGGAGGTACCTTCGTAACTGTCGGAAATTTAATTCTACAGTGAACTTACGTCGTCCTTAAAGCAGTGCAGATGCAGTGACGTCAGGCTTGGGCAGACCTTGAGAGCCATCATGTTGTCGAGCAAGGGGCAGGCCAACTTGCGAAGCCTGCAATCGGAAAAGGTAATAGAGTGCACTCATCGGAAACTTTAGTCTGGTTTACGTTCTAAACACTGGGTACACACAGGCATCCCATTTGCGTAAGCCTGCACTCTAAACGTCTTACGAAGAAATTTTCCATAATACGAGGGAAATGGCGCAAGCATAATACGAAGGTGGTTTTTCTTCGTATTACGAAGGTTTTTCTTTGTATCTTACAATGAAAAAGCTAACATGATTCGTATTACGAAGGAATATTGCTTCGTATTATGCTCGCGCCGAATTCACTGTAATATACGAATAACATAGGTCAAATTTCATTGTAAGGCATTTAGAGTGTGATTCTTTGAGCACCCCCCCCCCCCCAAAAAAAAAAAAGAAACTAAAAAAACTTACAAAGTAACATAGTGTGTAATAGAGCACATGTAAGTGTGGACCAGGTCTAAAGAAAGGTGGGGCTCATTGGGACGGATTTTTTCTTGGCGCTCTACGTCAGAGGGCTTTCGAGCTATAATGGTCGGGGCAGGCCTAAATTGTGCATTGACATCTAGCCCACTGTAAAAAATTTCGAGGGTAAATTTACAAATCTGGACCGCGCAACGCTTGTCCTAAGTCCATGGATTGGCGAATTCACGCATCTCATTAGAGGGTAAAAGTAACCCTACATGACTGGGGAAAAAATGCTAAACTGTGTAAGAGCAAATTCGCGCATACATGACTTGAAAATGTGACTTTGCCGATCCACGGGGGTAAATTTGTCCTTTTGATGTGTAAATTATGTTTTCTCGATCCACGGGGGTAAATTTGTCCTTTTGGTGTGAAAAATATGTTAGGTGGGTCCGCGGGGGGCAAAATTGAAATTTTACACGATCACGAGGCCAAGGGTATGCATGAGAGTGATGGGAGAGAACAACTGTACCTCAGAGTACATCCCACGTGATGAAATCCACTTGGTCTGAAGTGATGGGCCCGCGTCTCGAACCATGATCCTCTTGCTCCGGACTCCGCACCGCATCTCATTGCGCCGCGACGCTTGCCTGCGAAGGTCGGGAGAGGCGCGGTACTAGACCGGCCCGCCGCCAGCCTATCCAACCTGGTCCGCGCGTGCCCCCTTGGATCGAGGAAGATGTTTCACTCATCCAAACGCAGAAATTCACCGCGTCCACACGAGCGTAAATTTACCCCCCTGGATCGAGAAAGATATTTCACACATCCAAACGCAGATATTCACCGCGTCCACGCGTGCGTAAATTTACCCCCTTGGATCGAGGAAGATGTTTCGCACATCCAAACGCAGATATTCACAGCGTAATGGAATGAGTGATTTTACTATCATGAACGTGAATAAGAACTTACCTATCCACAGAGTAAATTTACTTATTCAATGGCAATGCAAATTTCCCGGATGGACACGTAAACACTTTGTCTCCATACATGTATCGGCGGAAGCGTATACCCTGACCACGAGGAGAAATTTACTCCGGAATGGGAAGACAAATTTACCACTGATTTTTTACAGTGAGCTATCATTGAAGCATTCATACTTATTCCGACACGTTTTTAGACAGGAGAGATATTTTCCGTGGAGTCTGCACTTGTCCCAATGTGGACAGTACCGGGGCAGATTGGGACAGATCCGGGGCACATTGGGACAGCAATGAAAAAAAAAACTGGATCTAAGTCGTGCATTTATTTTTTCGGACCGCTAAGTTGTAGAAAACGTTATGCTGAATACAATGACAGCAGACTCGGATCTCTGGTTCCAAGCGTTCGGAAGATAGGCTGCTTAAAATGGAATAGTACTATTTTTCGTGTTTTTTCGCCCTCTCTACTCGAGAAAACTCTGAAGTAATGACTTTAGAGACCACACGCATAAGATAACTTTTATTGGTTTGGACGAGACAGGACAATATATGTACGATTCGTGTATTTTTGGTATCCACATGGCCCAGTAGCCTCACCCTGTCCCAATGTGAACTGAGCCATTTTAAAACGTCAACTCGGTCTGTGGCCCTTGACCCCAAGACCAAGCTGCGCGCGTTGACCCTTTTTGACGTCCATTGAACCAGGGAACACATTCCTAACCTCGGTACGATCATCCGACGTGCATTTTAGACGCTAAAAAGAAAACAAAATTCAAAAATCGTGCTTCTTTTTCATCGTTTTTCGTGGAATCGAACTTCCAACCCACGTTTCTCATTCAGAAAGCGCCCAGTTCTGTCCCCTAGTTGTGAAAACAGTAAACCAAATAACGCTCTATTATGGTCAATTTTCCGGAGAACCTGACATAACCGGAAGTTGGAAATATTGAAGGTGTCCCAATGTACCCGGTATCCCACTGTACCCCACCTTCCCTTACACTATTGCACTTGCGCACGGCTTACCAACCTCGTTTTTCCCACATTTGCAAGTGTGTCAGGTCAGTCAGATGAGTATCATGTGAGTACACTCTAAATGTCTTACAATGAAATTTGATCTATGTTATTCGTATGTTACAGTGAATTCGGCGCAAGCATAATACGAAGCAATATTCCTTCGTAATACGAAGAAAAATCACCTTCGTATTATGCTTGCGCCATTTCCTTCGTAATATGGGAAATTTCTTCGTAGACATTTAGAGTGTACACCGTTCTTACCTGAGGGCATTAGATACCAAAGCAGCGAGTTCTGGATGGTGGCTTCTCGTCTCAATCTTCTCCAGTGTGGCCAAGTGGTCCGCCAAGAAGGGGAGCTGATGCCGCCCCACCGAAGCATCCAAGAAGTTGAACTTGAAGTGAATGAGACACGGCTCCACTGCGCCACGGTCGAGGACGGCTGTCTTCGGCAGCGCTGGAATTGATGAAGGCAGCACACCATCCAGCTCCAGCTTCACTAAACCTGCAACACAAAGACGTAGAATCAGGCACTGTGAAATGACAAAACCGCGGATGACATTTTCATCACTTGAAAATTATGACAGTTTATTATAAATTATAGACATTTTCACAAGACTCCTTAACTTGGTGCATGGACCTGACAACTATGTCCGCAGCAAACTTTATGACATTCTTGAAATAAAACACTGTTAAAAAAATTCTTAAATTTAATACATAATGACATCTTAATTTTAATAACCTTTTGAAAGGATATAAAAAACTCATAAAGGTTTGTGAATTTTAGAAAAATTTTTACATTTACCAAAACATTTCTGACAAGTAATAAAAATTTTGGTAAGTTTCAAAAACTTTATTAAAATTAAAAAACAGGTTCATTAAATTTGAGACTGTTTACCAAATGCAATAATTTGTTTCTTAAAATTCAAAATTACCATGACTTTTCATATTTGATTCTCATCCTGCCAGTTAAAATTGTGATCATTGGACGCTTCACTACCAGTGTACGTAAAGAACAAATTTGGATGATCTTGGTCATGTGAAGTCGTGTTTGGAGGCCCTGGGATGAGCGCTTCCACTGCCTAGCGGAGTCTCCGCCGAGAGGCTTGGAGTCATCCACATCCTAGAGCCCGCCTCGCAGAGCTCACTCGTGGCGCAGTTGGTAGCGTCGCGGTGCGGTAATCCGGAATTCCGGGTTCGAGACCGAGTTTGAACCACGCTTCCAAGCGATTTCGGCAGTGAAATCGACTACTACCATACAATGAATAACTCATTACGTACATAAGGCGTTCAATTTTTACCTGCTCTATATTAAATTCTTCTTAAATGCAAAAACAACTTTTAAGAAACAGATTATTACTTTTCAAATTTGATTCTTACTTTTAAGAAGAAAAAGTTTATTACTTTTACTAGCAAAAAGTCTTTGTAAACTGCTTCATAAAAAAGTTTCTTAAAATTAAGATGGATTTTTTTAACAGTGAAAGTAAGCTTCGGTATTATAATCAAGTCACGACCAAAATTTTTACAGTGCACAAAAAAAGTGAAAACTAACTCAATGTAAGATACAGTAAGGGAAGGTCTACCACCTGTTTAGTCCCAACCAAGTTAGCTAACTCAAATTCATAAATAAACCCTTCCAAATCCTTCAGTGTTTTCACTGAACACGCCCGCATCGCTGCTTGGTTACAAAAATGCGACAAGACATTTTCGTACGACGTTTTCAGACAGTTCTTACTTTCTTGGGCAGAGGCTTTGCAGACTGTCGTGGAATAACCACCAACGGCCCGTGTCGAGAGGGTAAACAAACAAGTACCTAATACGCTGTACAAATCTGAACGTAATGCCATTGGCACTCTTAATGTCTTACGAAGAAATTTCCCATAAAACGAAGGAAATGGCGCAAGCATAATATGAAGGTGGCTTTTCTTCGTATTACGAAGGTTTTTCTTTGTATCTTACAATGAAAAAGCTAAAAAGATTCGTATTACGAAGGAATATTGCTTCGTATTATGCTTGCGCCGAATTAACTGTCACATACGAATAACATAGGTCAAATTTCATTGTAAGACATTTAGAGGGGGGGGAATATGACAAAATTGTAACATTACAATGCCATAATACACGTTCAATACACGGTAATGCAGGGTAAGACCAAGTGGTACAGGGTTCATCGAAGTGTAACCCATGGGTGTACTCGATCTGTGTCCTCACCTTTCACAGCTTGCACTTCCTGCAGGAGGGCGGGGATACAGCCGCTATCGCGTGTGCCGCGCAGTTGAAGGTAGATTTTCACCTGACGTAGTCGGCCCAACGCCGCCTGTCTGTAAGGAGAATACACTCTAAATATGGAGTGCCCAGAAACTGGGCGCCTTTGTCACCCGCCCCACTTTTTAGGGTGCCAAATGTCGCCCAGTTTCTGGGCACCTTTGTCGCACAGTCTCGGGGTGCACAAAGGGAAGGCGCAAAATTCTAAATACCCGACGAAGCGTTAGGTTTGGGGCAGGCCTTACCTGCGGACTGCGAGGGTGCACACAACCAGCATTGGTGTGTCCAAAATCTCCAGAGCCAGCTCGGCTGCTGCGCATTGCGTGTCCGCGGCCAGCAGCGCACTGTGGACCAGATTCGCTCGGCAAGAGGATGTCATATTGACGTAGCTGCCGATTGTTAGGCGGCGAACACAAGGGGCGAGGCGGAGAGCGGCCCAGTGCAACTGCGTGGCGTCACTGTAACGGAAAGAAGATGCTCACACTCTGAAAACATCATAAAGTACATACTAAATACGCGTAACTTGCACTATTTTACTCATGCGTGGAATCTGCAGAATATTGAGCCTAAAATTGCGCCCGTTAATGCACGCACATTATTAAGCAAAACGTTAAGGGGGTTTAAAATCATGCAGCACCACACACAAAATTGCAAATTAACATTTAGCGCGTATTTGAGCCTTACGTAGTAAAGTTACTCGAAATTACAAAGTATGTTGAACATACGTACGCTAACAAAGAAAAAAAAACTCGTACTTTGCGAACAGTTTCTTCGTGTCGGAAACTAGATAGTTTGTACCTTAGAGATGCTCAAAATACTTCGGAAGGCCTAAGCGTGCAGATCATCTATTTATCGCTTGCCATGGAAAATAACTTTGGTGTACAGTGAAAAAATCCAGTAATTCCACAAGAATTTATTATGAATTTAAATGAACCACTGCTGAATTTCCTGGAGTTTCCTCTCAATTTATTTCCTCTAAACATTCCTCTAAATTTTGACTAAATTTCACGAATTTTGAAGAAATTTCATTTCAAGATTATCCATCAATTTCAATGTAATATTGTTTTGTCAGTCTCCCCTTGATTGACAGGACAACCATTGCGATGGGTCCTATGAACAAAGACCGCTATGCTTTGCGTCGGTTGAACAAAGACCGCCATGCTTTGCATCCGTTGAACAAAGACCGCCATGCTTTTGGCCGCTTCTCCCTTTCCCATTAGAAACGCGATTTTCAATTGAGGTAATGAGATCGCGGACTGGAATTTGAAATTTTCGGATTCTCTTATGTTTTATGCACAAAATGAACACACTATCATCTCACATTTGTTCGGACTACTATGAAACTTAGTAAGATGAAATGAGAGGGCGATCTAACCTCAAATGCATATCGGTCTTTGTTCAACCGATGCAAAGCATAGCGGTCTTTGTTCATAGGACCCATCGCAAACAAGGCTTACGCGACGCCGCGACGCACTCTGCTACAAAAAGGCCAGAAGACTTCGCCCTTACCGGCGTTAGAATGAATTGCCTTTGGAAGGGCAGTCAAATCGTGCCTTGAAGTCCTACACAACTTTTACGGCCCTTCCAAGGGCATAAACCGAATCACGCCGTTCAAGGGGCGTGAATAGTTTTCGCCCAGTGTATATTGCGTTATTTTTGTGCCTCTATCTTACCAGCAGCGCTTTTGTCTTGCCGCGCGGAGCGGAGACCTCGCGGTTCTCCGGGAAGAAGTAAGATTAATTTTAACAGTGTCCTCCTGTAGGTCAAACTCACCGCGTGGACAAGCGTCGCCACAAGTGTGGGTGTAGCGCCAGTTTCCTCCATCGGCGACACACCGCGCGGCACCCGAGCAGTGCGACGACGGGCAGGTAGCTGAAGACCTGCATCAGTTCGTCGTCCGGCAGCGTGTCCATGGTCAACGACTCCATCTGCAAAGCCAAACGGTTAAGGTAGTTTAGGCGTTAAGAGCATTGTCATGAGAAATTGCTGAAATTTTTCCTATGAATTCTTTGAAGCTTTCTTAGCAAAAGATGTCCTACAAAAAATTTTGGTTCATGGACTAATTTTTGAGCAAATCATACTTAAAGTTCGCGTTTTTGCATGGCGCCTTACGGGCGATCGTGGCTGCAACCCTCAAAGCAGGTTGTACGCGAAACGAAACGCGTCAAAATGTCGGACCGTCCCCCTTGCAGCGTAAACAACTCGAGGGAAAATCGAGGTACAACGAGGTTTTTGAAAAGTAAAAGGAGGATCGAAGAAGCAACGAGACCGAGACCTGAACTCTGATGCACTCGTACTAGTAGCATTTTGGAGGTTGTTTTAGAAAGTGCTGTTCACTTCAGGCTCGGGTGATTCTAAGGATCAAACGTTGGTCACAATTTTCGAAGAGCGAGCTGCGACGGCACGCTGGAAACACTACCACAATTTTGGAAGTTAGATACAAAACATTTGCGCTGCTGGAAATCTTTTCCTGCAGCGCATTATTTCATGTACACGCGGAACCGTTTTTTTAGGGGTTCCCAAGAACCCCTATTGTCCGAGGTCCGTGGATTCTTCCCCCCCCCTCTCCGATTTTCAAATAAACAACTCTAAACTATTTCAACCATGAAAAAAAACGAAAATTCCAATTTTTTTCGAAAATTCATCGGGGAAAATTTTTCCGTAAACGCGAAAAACAAAAATTTGCAACAATCGAAAACGAGAACCGTTAATGATATAAAAAAATGGTTCAAATAAAAAATGTGCCACTCCTCAAAACTAAACCTCCTGGCTCATCAAAGTAACAAGAAATCATATATGTTCTGAGCAAATGGTCAAAACATGAAAAAAAATCTCCATGGCAACGGCATGGTCCCATCGTACCACCTGTCAAAATTTAAAGTCGCCCATTTAAAAAATCTAAACGCCGTGAAATTCGAAAATGCTAATGCTAACACATTGCACGGTGTCTCAACGTTGGAACATCTTTAAAGTCTGTCACTACTAAAAAGTTCGTAGCAGAAACGACACATCAAATTAATTTTCGTGGGTTGGCACCAATATGCTTGCCGTCTGCGCCCTTTCGAAAATCGCGAGGCTGAAAGAACGAACAGGCGCCCATTGAAACTCCCCCCTCCATTGGCTGGGTTGGATTGTTTGGCATGCTCTCAAAGGCTGCGGTTGTCTTGTCATGTTTTCCTCGATTTTCAACCAGTTATGGAAACGGGAACACCGTGCAATGCGATTAGCATTGGAATTTTTTTACGTGTACGGCCTAAAGAGGCCGGTTCCTGGTCGGCCGGGGCCGAGGATTCTTTTGTCGGCGGTTGTAAGCCAGGCCGCGTCATGGCGGAACAGGCTTCGCGATGCGACACCGGTTTGGGTTGTGCGTCCCTTGGTTGGCGCCTGTCTTTGACGGGTGCACTGAAAAAGTTTGTTACCTTTCAATGACAAAATCGTGGAAGACATTTTCGCCACTTGCAAATGATGACAATGTCATCACAAACTAAACTGGTGACGATGTTATCACTTTTTTCATCAAAGCTCCTGCACCTACTACGTGGGCGTGCCAAACGAGTCATCGAATGTTAGGGTGACATCCTACAAAGGAAAATTAGCCCCGAAATTGTCAACGAAGGTTTCAAAGTTTGTGTTGGAGCATTGAAACCAAGCACTCTACCAACCCCGAATTGGATAGAGCCCTATTTTGAGAGTTTGAGACCTCACTCCAAACCCGCGTCGCCAACTGCAAACAAGTCATTGCGTGACCATTTGGTAACAAAATTGCAACCAGCCTATGATTAAGTTGTGCACGAAAAATTTCCCTGATGGTTGTTCGTAAGCATTTAGCGTCTGGCGTGAAAACCGCAGAATACGCTTCTATTTCAGTATCTTCAATTGAACGGTTCAACCGAGGAGTCATTTTTCCGTTGCGTCTCAATGCGACCTTCTTCTCCTCTCACAGGTAAGACCATCACTCAAATTACTTTGCATACCCTTAAATGGTGTCCTTTTTCAGTGCAGGGTACGAATGATCACACTTGAAATGTCCACACGTGAGTCCAGTGAGCTTTCTTCAACCACATCACAGCAGTACACGCGGCCTCATGATGAACCCACGTTACAAAATCCTCAGCCAACGAAGCCCAGCTCCAGATTTAGCGCGGTTGCCGTCGGGGCGGGTTGAGGGTTTAGAAGCCAAAACACCGCGCAACAGCATCGGTTTGGCGGATTTTCACGGTCACTAGTCTATTTCGCGTGTATTTTCGGTCAACAGTATCACTTTTGAGGGTCGGCTTCCGAAAAAGTCCGGACACTCTTGAGCTGAGAGTGCCAACGAACTGAACCGTGAATGTTACGCCCGGCGATACCACGGTGGGGACTCGCCACGGCGTCCTTATCCGAACTCGCTCCGCGAACTGTTTCCGACGGCTGCGCCGGCCGGCGCGGCACTGGGCTTTTGGGGCACCCGGCAAGGCGGCCGGTCCGAGCGCGCCCCGTCTGGACTGGACAGGTTTGGCGAAGTGGGAGGAAAAGGAAGCGGTCACCTTGCCGATTCCCTCGCTACCTCCCTACCCCGGACGCACCGCGCACCCACCGCTGTCGCTGAAGCTCAAAGGCGACAGCTACCACAAAGCGCCCGGCAGGCAGGCAACACTTTAGACACTGAACGCAGAGGGATCGCATCACCACCCGGCGCCCAACAGCGGCGGCGCTCCCTCCAGGCGAGAGCCCCCCTCACGCCGTGCCGGCCAGACGGCCACGAGCCACGCTGACTTCTTTGAGTCATCGACCACGCCACGCTAGGTAGTTGGTGTCACTTCAAATACAGCAGACTGACTTCTCGCCACACTGCAAATCGAAAAGCGTACATATGCTCTACCTGGAGCATGCCTGCATGCACGCTCATCAAGCGAGCACATGCCTGCCAAGCATGGATTATAGTCCATAAACGCCATGCACTGGTAGCCAAGGAATGTGACGTCACGTTTGTTTTCACGTGAAAACGGCGATGTTAGTTTAAGCGTGACAAACGGTGAAAATTTACATTCGAACGAATGTGACGTACCGCACCGCTTTGTCACATTAGTTCGGGTGTGACACGCAATCAGCTGTCGAACTGTCACATTAAAACGAATGTGACAGTACATGGATGTCACATTCGTTTGGATGTGACACGACATGTGTACTTGGGTACCATGTGTCACATTCGTTTTAATGTAATGTGAAAGTTCGACAGCTGATTGCGTGTCACACCCGAAGTAATGTGACAAAGCGGTACGGTGTGTCACATTCGTTTGACTTTAAATATTCGCCGTTTGTCGCGCTCAAACTATCGTCGCCGTTTTCACGTGACAACAAACGTGACGTCACATTCCTTGGCTACCAGTGTGTATACGCTTCATGATGAAGACAACTCACGAGACAACTCCCTTCCCTATCCTATCCACAAGATGTATGCGTCAGTTAGCGTGTAAACACTGTATTCTAAGTGTAATAATGAACTGGTTTAAAAAGCAATTACATTTTTATTGCATTGCTGGCGCCATGACAAAGTTATTCCATTATAAGTGCAATAATGATTGCATTGCATCAGCGCATTTATCGCTATAGAAAATAGCTTTCTTTGTATTACAACAAGCAGTTATTTGTAGGAATTTATTTGCGCAGGGTCAAACTTTTTTGGTAATTGTCTTCTGGTGGGCTGAGGGATTTTATCGTGAAAAAAGATTCCTCTCCAGTTCCATTCCCCCCCCTTCTCCAACTTCCATGCTCTGGGGCAAAACGGACTTCGAGCCACAGGAAGAGCTCGGGTGAGCACGCGACGCGATACGGCTCTGCGTAACAAAACAACCAAAAAAAATGCAGTCAAAAGTATTTCATTGCAGTGCTTTAAAACTTGTTGACAACTTGTTGTCACGCCATATCCCAGCGTGCGTTACTGTGCAGCCTCGTTTCCCGAGCACTGCTCCAGTGTTTCATCGCTTGCCCTCTCTAACACCTCGATGGGACGGTCCCATAAGTGCGTGACCACACGAGGAAGCCACCGTTTGAAATCAGACAGCATCATTTTGGTCGCCTCGTTGCTCTCGTTGTCAGCTTGTGAATACGCTTTGACCTCGGACACTCAAACCGGCAAGGGCCAAAGGCGGGCGCCGCGATTTCTTCATGCTACCGCTCGCTGCGTTCCTGTTGGCCCCTGTCTTCCTATCCCTAGTCCAAAGCAAAACAATCCAATCCTTCGCAGTGAGTTTTTTTTTAGCACGAAGTAGCCTTATATAGTATATAGTCAACAGCGCAAAACAAACGGGGACACTGTGGCAAAAAGCTACGGAAAATTCTGTAAACAGCTTGTGGTAATTCTCCGTAGCCCCCTTATCAATATTCTCCGTAGGCTCTTACAGTATTTTCCGTAGGACCGCACAGTATTCTCCGTAGGACCTTACAGTGATCTCCGTAGGACTATACAGTCTTCCAGGTCCTACGGAGAAGACTGTGCGGACTTACAGAGAAGACTGTGCGGACTTACAGAGAATACTGTACGGCCCTACGGAGAATATTGATAAGAGGGCTACGGAGAATCCTGGCAAAAAAATTAACAGAATTTTCCGTACCTTTTTGCCACAGTGGAGGGGGGAGCCGAGACACTGTACCTATAGAGTGTAAGGCGATGAAGGCTAATGCCGATTCGAAGACCCTTTTTCAGAACAGCCGACGCTTTTGGAGTTATCGGTACAAAAGTGAAAAGCAGCGCCGGTACTGGTCAGTGACTAGGCTCGGCTTCCCCCTCTCCGTTTGTTTTGTGCTGATAAGTCGACCTTTGCCATAGTAACAGCAATTTCAGATCCAAATTTCTCAAAATTGGTCAAGCACTTTTTAATCACCTCAGCACTGAAATCACGGTACAAAGTTCTACTAAACTGTCAAGTCTTATCAAAATCGTATAGAAAATTTCCAAAATGCATAGAGGGCCACATTGGGGAGAAAAATGCTTCCCGGGGGAAACCAACGCTACTTCGTGCCTAAAAAACAGATTTGAGACGGATTCAAGGGAGTCCCAACCAAGTGTTTTTCCTTTTTTTTCTGGAGCTTTTGATGCCTTTCAGAGAGTGCTTGCTGGAAAGTTGCTTGATACCGCATTTCCTTCTCATTTGTGCTTTCCAGGGTCCGTACATCGCATTCAGCCATCTATACAACCCATGTCCATCTCAAGAAACGTTCTTGATACAGGCCAAAATAAGTCACTTCAACCCCAGCAGGCCTTACGACTTGCAAACTGTTTTCGCAAATATGTCATTGAAAGAGGATTTTTCTGACGGATATTGGGTAAAGTGTGCAATGTAGAGCAAATTTGAAGATTAAAGGCATTCTTCCAAGCAAGTGAAAGCGACTTTTGGCTATGTTTTCAAAAATTGTATTGCGCATTCTATTTGTCTTCAATTTTTGAATTCATTTTTATTCAAATGGCTATTTCTATTGCCAATCGTGGGAGGGTCTGCAAGCATCGCACTCCAACCTAAGTAACAGGGCAAGGTAGCACCCTTTCTGTGATGAACCTTGAAAACCGTTGAGAAACTACTAGCTTAGCCCTTCTGCAGAGCGTGAGGAGGAAATCTTACCGTCAACGGGGGGTCATTTGGGACAGTTTTGCACGTTTCGCCCCGTCCCCGCATTTTCATGCTTGTCTGGTACATTTGCCTTGAGTACACTGAGAATGAATGGGTCGCCACCATCACCATTTAAATGGGTGATGCAACTTCGCTGCCTAATTTTGGGTGACGAAAGATTCATCCCTCGAAATTTGGTGACAGGCGTTAGGTTGCCCAAATTTGGGTAACGTCGGCGACGCCGTGAGGTCCCCGATGACGTCCTACCGGGATGATATCATATTGACGGATCTAATCTGGTATGATGGTGTCTGGTTGGAATTATATCTGGTGGGTGGTAATGCATATCTGGTGAGATTATTGGCGAGCGATAGCGAGCCCTTGCCGTGTTTGGGCGCTCCGAAAAGTGACTGGTCGTGCGTCTGTCTGTCTGTCTGTAGCGTACACGCTCACGTTTCTCAGCAACTACAACACTAATAGTTACCAAATTTTGCACCGAACATCCCCTAAAGGTCCCACAGGGGGAGTTTATTTTATATTCACGATTACTACCGTTTGAAATATTCAAAACATCTTTTGAATTAGGTTCTTAGCGTGGTTAGGTTGGCAGCATATATAGCAATTTTTCATACTTGCGGCCGCGGCTCTCAAATAGGGGCTGGCAAAACATTGGCAAATAAAACAAAATAGAGAGGAGAAGGGCTTAGAAGTGAGTTCGGTCTTAGTTTTTCGATATTCTAGAATGATTGAAACCCCTCCGGAGTGTCAACACAGTGAAATACGGAAAATGAAAGTGACAATTTTTACGCGTTTCGTCCGTCCGCCCCCTCCCCCCCCCCGCCACAGGGGAAAAGTTTTAGTCAGTGGAGTGTGTTTTATCGTTTGATAATTGCAAGAATGATTTTGGGCTTTTTTAAATTTTGAGAGTGTATTTCCATTTTTATTCTCAGACATTATACTTTTTAGTTGTTTGCTTTGCTCAATAACAGTTAGAAAATAGATCAATGCAATCTAAAAGTACAAACCAGACACTAATCTTGCCAAAATAAATAGTCTTTGCTGACTCTTGGCACTGACTCTGGGGAAAGGCTTCATTGCAATGCTGTAAGTTTTCTATAGTACTAACCTTAAAGATAACTATATGGTGAGTGAGAGTAGCGCATACATGGTTTGACATTGACATCTGATTCAATGAGACGATTCAGTGACTTGGTCATATGATTTCATGAGACGATTTTTTAACTTCATCATACATTGTCTGCGACAACTGGTAATTTGTGTCAGTCATGGTTTGAGTTGGCTGTCTTTTTAATTTTTTCAGAATGTTAGGTAAATACTTATGCCATACTGTTTTAAAGATTTAAAAATCACATCATGACTATCATTATGAATAAGATTAACTTGCGTTTAGCAATAAGTGGGCTTGACATTGAATTTAATGGAACGATTCATTGGATCTGACAGAAGGTTTTTCCGTAAAGTAGTTGCAATCAGCCTGCCTGTAAATGTGTCTTTTTTAATGAATTGAGATAAATCAATGAAATTTCATCCACTAGTTTAAAAAAAAAGGGAGATAAAAGGCTTTTTAGGTATTACTTATAACATTGTGTATTCATAAGTTCAATAACAAGGAGATATCGAATGGTAATTGAAGCATTTGTGAATCGTATTAAGTAATTCAATGCTGGCTGTTGAATGTTACTCGACTGAGTAACAGTGTTAGGGTTCATGTTACGACACAATGAACAGGAAACACACTTAGAAATTGCGAAAATAACTTCCAATTTTATCCCAGACCATTACTTTTCCCAAAATTTACCAATTTCTGAACAAAATTTTTAAGTCGAGTTCTACATAGTTTCCTGCGGTTTTGGGTGTGCTGATCACGAAAATGACTTCCAATTTTATCCCAGACCTTTACTTTTCCAAATATTTACCAATTTCGGACCAAAATTTTTGAGTCGAGTTATACATAGTTTCCTGCAGTTTTGGTGTGCTGATCACGAAAATGACTTCCAATTTCATCTCAGACCTTTACTTTTCCAATATTTGCCAATTTTGGACCAAATTTTTGAGTCGAGTTATACATAGTTTCCTGCAGTTTTTGCTGTGCTGATCACGAAAATGACTTCCAATTTTATCTCAGACCTTTACTTTTCCAAATATTTGCCAATTTTGGACCAAAATTTTTTAGTCGAGTTTTACATAGTTTCCTGCAGTTTTTGGTGTGCTGATCACGAAAATGATTTCCCAAATTTTCATCTCAGACCTTTACTTTTCCAAATATTTACCAATTTTGGACCAAAATTTTTGAGTCGAGTTTTACATAGTTTCCTGCAGTTTTTGGTGTGCTGATCACGAAAATGACTTCCAATTTCATCTCAGACCTTTACTTTTCCAAATATTTACCAATTTTGGACCAAAATTTTTGAGTCGAGTTTTACATAGTTTCCTGCAGTTTTTGGTGTGCTGATCACGAAAATGACTTCCAATTTCATCCCAGACCTTTCCTTTTCCTAAAATTTACCAATTTGTGACCAAAATTACAAAGTTGAGTTTCCCATTGTTTCCTGCAGTTTTCAGTAAGATAATCACGAAAATGACATGAATTCCGGCCTTTTCGTGACGGAAGACACTGTATTGGCCTTATTCTCCACATATTCTTCGCCATCTCCTATAAGAATGTGTTCAGACGCATCGCTCGCCTACTACGCGCCCAAACTAAACGGCGCGTACCCCTAGTCTAAAAGTTACGATATTATTTACGTAATGGTTTTACGAATTACAAGGTAGGTTTACGCCAGACCGCGTCTTGTCGTAACAGGCTTCACGATGTCAATCGTTGCACTCGGGTCAACTTTTCAGCGTTTGACATAAATTGTCAAAAACCCCATTTCCTTGTTTGCCGTTTCTTTAACTGTGACGTAATGCACCTTCTCTACCTCTTCACACGTACCCTGAAGCCTTGGGAATAAAACCCTGCCGCGGGTTTCACGCTAGAAACCCCCGTCGCTAGAGGGCAGCACCAACAAGGGCGATAGGGCAGACTGTCCCAAGTTACTCCCATTGACGGTGACGGTACGCCTTTTGCATTTAGATGAGAGGGATCAGTATGGTTGTGCTCCTGTACGCTTGCCTTAAAACTTTTCAGGCATCTGCTACGATGGCCGTGCGATCTAATAACCAATGGAAAGAAAACGCTATTGTGTTTAATTTTCCACGAAAGGGGTGTTCGGTGATTCGTGAGCACTTCCCTGACATGTATCGATTTTTCGCGGAGGCGACCGGGACGCCGGTAGCGGACAAGACGGCTCCTTGTGTTTTTCGTAAGGTAGGTGCCCAAATTTCCTCTTAGATACGTACAAGATACTGCATAAATTACTTGGGAAATCTTTTTGAGTAGTCTTCATTGGGTATAATTCTCATCAGTTAACGCATAAATAATTACTGCCGATTTACATGAAATCTCATAAGGTATAATTCATAATACATTTAACCGGTATTATTTAATAAATATTGGTGTAGCCACTGAAAATCTATCGGCGTGACTTCGTGCCGCTGCAGAGGCGTGAAAAATGTGTCACGTCAATAAACGGCATGCCACAAAAGTCACGCCAAAAATCGGCGTTACTCAAAAATTCACGCCAAATTTTGGTGTGAATTTCTTGTCATGCCGCTTTTTGGCATGACTTGTCTCTTAAAACGCGTTGTTATTCACGCCAAATGACGGCGTGACTCACATGTCACGCCGTTCATCGGCGTGAATTTTATGTCACGCCAATTTTTGGCGTGACTTTTTGTCACGCCATAATTTGGCTATGTGTCCGACCATTACGTTTTCAGTGGCGTCAGATATTAATCCTCTCAAGTATAATTCCCATCAGATATAATGTCATCAAGTATAATTCCTGATCCCTGATGAAACCAAAAGTAAAACTATTATACCTGTTGAGGATTATGAGACCAATTGTATCTATAGAACATTGTACCTGATGGGATCCTATACCTGATGTGGTTCCCCCAATTTTTTGTCAATAAGTACTAACAAATTTGCTTAAATTACTAGAGGTGCTACTAACTACATGCCAATACCACGTACTGAAAGTCATAATAGCGAGTCTGAGAGTGTAGGATTTCCTGAAATCGTATTTAATTCCTTTTCATATTCATATACGACCATAGTCCATTCTGATTAAGATCGAACTGGTTTCTTTTTATTCATCCTAGGGGGTTTTGATTTGGAATAAGATTTTGAAGCCACACGACGAGAACACGACCGTTCTGTCAAAGTGTCTTACTCCGGAAACAGTCCTAACAGTTGGCAGTAGCTTAGTAGCTTCATAGTGACTTTTTCGGTACTTTCCTTCCGGTCGTCTCCATTTTCTGCTGGGGAGAAGTCAGTACTTGTATGTTCCTTTCTGCAGGGAAACTACGTCATGACAGAGCCTCGTCCGGTGAACGCGACGTTTCCCAGCTTTCCGGTTCTGCCCTACGGACGCTACAAGTACCGGGGAACGTTGAGACGAACGAGCACCAGCCCCGTTCCCCTTGCGTGCCTTGAGATGGACTGCGAAATAATTCCGAAACCATGAGTTGCTTTGGCTATTACCTTGCCTCACATTTTAAAGTCAGGTGTGGGTGAAAATCCTTTTCTCCCCAAATGATTAAATAAAGAGAATTCAAACCTTTGCGGTTCCGACAGGCTCAAAAACCCTCAATAGCATCCAGATCGAGCAAGGAGTTCCAAATATAAAGGTATTTTTGAAAAATTTGGACGACTATGCCTGAGGTACGGTATTTTGCGCTACAGATTAAGGCGGAGAAGTCTAACCTGGCAATGCTAAGGCCTTTTCGGCTATTTTGCAAATTTTGAAAGTCAATGACTACTTTCCCATTCAACCCAATGACCGACACTTTTTGTTTGTCTTGCCGAGAAGAAGCCAGTGCCTCAAACTGATCAAGTTTGATTATTTAACGGATCGTCCTTGAAAATAAATCGACACTGAAAGTCTACCGGCGTGACCTCCGTGCCGCTGCAGGGGCGTGAATCAAGTGTCACGCCAAAAATGGCATGACAGAAAAGTCACGCCAAAACCCGGCGTGACTCAGAAATTCACACCAATTTTTGGTGTGACTCAAAAACTCGCCCCAATTTTTACGACATTTTTACGCTAAATTAGTCAAATTTAAAAAAAGGCAAATATCTCAGGTTCTATTTGAGCTAGTCTACTTTCCTGTTAGGGTTGATAGGTCCTAGTGGTACCTATTGAACCCACAAAGTGTGAACCGAATCCGTGACCCAATCTCAGATCTCGGTCCACCTTGGGGTGGAGTTACTCACGACTTTTCTCATAAAACGCGTTGTCATCCACGCCAAATGAGGACGTGACGTACACGGCATGCCGTTTATCGGCGTCAATTTCGTGTCTCGCCAATTTTTGGCCTGACTTTTTGTCACGCCACAATTTGGCCATGTGTTCGACCATAGCGTTTTCGGTGCACTCTTAAAAGCCTACGAAGCATTTGCTTCATAACTACAAAGAAAATGAAGGCATTTTAGAATTGCTTCGTATTATGAAGAGATGCTTCGTATTCCGAAGATTTTGCTGTGTTGCGAAGCATTTCTTCATAGATTTTACAATGCCTTCATTTTCTTCGTATAACAAAGCGGTTCTTCGTAGAGTTTTTACTGTGTGGAGGCATTCAGTTGGAGCACGGCAACATTTTCACAGGCCCTGGCCTTTGTCCGCGGTCATTCGGACAGGCGGTGCTGGCTGCGTCAGCTCGTTTCAGCGCTCTACTACTGCTACTTCGGCACGGCATGTCTCGGCGAGCATCCCCGCACAGTACGGCCTCGATTCAGTGCACACTGATTGCAGTGCTCCATCGCTTGGTCTCTCACACCTCAATGCGACGACCCCACAAATGCGTGACCACACGACGAACCAGCTTCGTTAGCGCTTCCACGCTTCTGTGGTCAGCGCATGAACCCGCTTTGGCCTCACACTCTACGCAGCAAGGGCCGAAGGCGGGCGGCCAGACTTCTTCATGCCACCGCTCGCTGCGATCCTGTTGGTGCCTGTCCTCCTTTTCGTTGTCAAAAGCAAACCGATCAATACCTTCGCAGTAAGTTATTCTGACCACATGATTCCTTTTCAGATAGTGCAGAAGGATAACTAGGAATTTGCAAAGTTTCCCTCATAGAAAGCCACGTTAGCCGAATGAATTAATGCCAAAGCGGAAACAGAAAATTTCTTCGCACTGTTTCGTTTCTGCTCCTAACCGGAGCTCCGGCTCAAAATGCTGAAAACATCACTCAACACCCTCAAATATATGATATGACGTAAATCTTGAAATAAAAATTTTGGTCCTAGTATCTTTTACCTGTAAACCTATAAACTTGTGCAATTTACTCCCCACTAATGCATTTTGGACTTTTTAAAATTCATAATTATGCAATTTAAAAGCATAGTTACGCATGCACAGATACGTGCGTAAGGTGTGTATGTGTACCGAAAGCGTAATGGTCGGACCGAGGGTCGGACACATGGCCAAATTATGGCGTGACAAAAAGTCACGCCAAACATCGGCGTGACACGAAATTCACGTCGAAAAAAGGCATTTTATCCGAGGGGGTAAACACTCCGGTGAACCTTGTACAGACTACTCCCTATTACGGGGTATTCACTTGTATTACGCCTCAATTTCATTGAAAAATGACATTTTTTGATACTTTTGGTCCCAAAATGTATTACTATTACGCGTATTACGGCGCAATACCCGACTTTTGTGAACAGGGTATTACGCAAGTGTTTACCCCCTCGATTTTATCACACAAAAAAAAAGATTCGCTGTTTTGGTGGTCGTTCTATGTCCAATATCACCGAATCGGGTACCCATACAAACCCGGCGACGGTCCGTCACCAAAACGGTGATTTACGTCACCAAATGCTGTTCCGCCAGAGGGTAGGATGGACATAACAACAACTGTTTTTAAGCTGTCTGTGCATATTTGTGCTTGTCCGCCGGTAACGTTACGCTTTGATAAGCCACGCGAATGATTACTGACAGCCCCTGACTTGTTTCTTCTCCTATTTTACATTAAAACGACGATTAAAAGTCGCTGGCGGGAGGGTGACTGCAGTGCCGTTTTGGTGTGCTGGCTTCTCCGAAACGGACCAAGCGCCACCGAAACTAAACCGAGCGTTGCCGAAACGAACAGAGGGCCGCCAGAATGGTTTGGGGGTGTCGCTGTTCTTGTAATTTTCTCGTTTTGGCGCCAAGACGTCTCCGAATCAGAGAATCTGCTTTTACTGTGTGAGTAACACCGTCATTTGGCGTGAATGACACTGCGTTTAGTGAGAAAAGTCATGCCAAAAAGCGGCATGACAAGAAATTCACACCAAAAATTGGCGTGAGTTTTCGAGTCACGCCGATATTTTGGCACGACTTTTCTGTTATGCCGTCTGCTGGCGTGACACTTTATTCACGCCCCTAGGGCACGAAGTCGCGCCGATCGATTTTCAGTGTGGCGCTGTTCTGAGCTCAAAGCAGTGTTCGGGCCACCTAAGCTATCTTTCAAGCTCTCTGTCAGAATGCCACACTTACGACATTGCACAAACGTTGTTGGAGGCTCCCTAGAAGGCCATCGCGCTCTTATTTGTGTTTTGCAGGGTCCGTATATCATATTCGGTCATCGATACAACCCATGCCAATCACAAGGGGTATTCGTGGTACAGGTCCGAATAAGTCACTTCAACCCCAAAAGACCTTACGACCTGCAGACGGCTACAGGAAATATAACATTGAAAGAAGATTTCGCAGACGGATATTGGGTAAGATGAGGTTGGGTGTGCGTTAGCAAATGTAGAAGTTTGAAGGTCTACACTGAGATGAAGATACTTTAGGCTCTGTTTTGTCTTTATAAAACGTGTTGCACAGACTTTTGGAACAAAATAGATAAGTGTTCACATTGTTGACATCATTCGTTCTTACCTGCATGTGCAATCCATTTCATACTCACTGACAAACGTCACTAGAACACAACTCGACACAAGTGGCAATTTTCCTATGAATTTGGGTTTATTATTTTGTTATCTTGGTGGTGGTGTGAAATGGTACAAAGATTCGTCACATTCAGAATCTGATATTACAATATGGGAATCATTGGAAAAATTTCCGCAGTTTACAAACACCCTTATCAATTAGCCATTTTTCAATTATTTTTTTAAATTTCTCATCCTTTGCAACACCTATTTCTACATAACACTTATTAAGGGGGGACCCTGGTGAAAAAATCGTCAAAATTCCAAAAAATAGTATTTTCAAAGTTCATAGATAAAAATGTGCATAGAAGGTTTGAAATTCAAACAGGTTGAACACCTTTGAGCTGAGTGGGTAGTTTCTTTATCATTTGGAAGGAAATAACATTGAGATCAGTTGTCGTTGGCTTCTACGTTCAACTTCACAGCATTGCTCAGTCGACAAAAATTTTTGTCGTAGAAAGACTTCCTGCGTTCCTGGTTGACACCTAGATGAGTCGTCTTGCATGGACTCTATTCATTGATGACTTGTCGACAAATTTTAGTGACGGAATCTTGATATCAGCCCTACTTTTTTTAAAACACACCTTCAAGTTTGAAAAAAGGGGAAAAAATCACTTTTTTTTAAATGTTGAAATTTGAAAACTCATATCTCAGGACAGAAGTTGAATTTGAAAATTCCGTCACTAAGGGAAGGTGGGGACCCATGTATCACTTTTTTTTGTTTTGAGTGTCAAAATTTTGGTTTTGGGCATAAACTAAATGTTTTGGGTCAGAAGCGTGAGTTAATCTTCCTTCTACAAGGGCCAACTGAATTTGTTCATGTATCTCATCTGGTTTTGCAAAGAAGCGCAATCTACTAAATTCGTGTATTTGATACATGGGACCCCATACCTGGGGTCCCATGTATCACCCATGGGGACCCATGTATCACAGCTATTTTCTTCAAAAATAACTTTTAAAAAAGGACAAATTATGCAACATTTCCTTGCAGCATTAATTTCTACAATATGTTTATAAGTTTGACCGAGTTTGACCATTCCTAAGGTAAGTTGAGGTCAAAGAGAGAAGGTGAAGATTCATGCATCACAAGTGGGGACCCATGTATCACAGGTGGGGACCCATGTATCACTCAATTTTTGGTATTTGTTTAATGGCAAAATGTAACTAAACTGTAACACCTGTCGCCTGTCACTCTATTATAAAATTGCAATGATTACAGCACAGGCATTAAAACAGGAAAATTTCCGTGATTAATTGCCCTCCAACATGAAATTTGAGTGATACATGGGACCCCAAAAAATGTGTCAATACATGTATCAATGTACATCGGTCCCCACTTGTCGGAGCACTGGACATTGCGGTGTACTGCCAGAACCTATGCTCGGATGTTGCTGTTCGGCACTGCTAATTGTTGTCAAAGCCCTTCCGCACACTCCCACATCAAAAAATTGCGACCATGTTCCACAGCAGGAAGCTGATGAAAGATGTTTGAAGAAATTTCTTTTTTACTTTCCCTCAGTTTTGGGGACCAAAATTTTCACTTAGTCACGCCGCCATGCTTGTTGGAGATGCGAGGTCACATCCTTCCATAAAATGAAGCTCTCTAGATGGTGTTTCGATTCCGCACCACGTGACTCGCCTCGCGGGCGAATCTGAAATTAAATACGCCGTGATACATGGGACCCCGTGATACATGGGTCCCCACCTTCCCTAAAATCTCTTCTTTACATCTTTAGGATATCCCAAAAAAATTTTTAAGACTTTCCGTCCCAATGAAAGACGCAGGAAGATTTTTCCCCAGCGCTCCAAAAAAACACTAAAAAGCCACTTTTCTCAGAGACCGTTCAACATTTTGGATTGAATTTTGTTTTGGGAACTCACCATAACGAACCTCATAATTAAGCAAAGTTTCAACTTTCTGGGATTATTTTGAAGCGTACTTGGAAGTTTCACCAGGGTCCCCCCTTACAGATCAACACAGATAGTGACGATGGGTTCAGGGTCATGTAGTAAAGATGGGTGAGGTTTTGTTGTGCCCCGGGGTGCGGCCCGGGATGGGAAACAACGATCCTTCAAAATTCTATCTTTATCAGTTCTGCTCCTGTATCCTTGCCTTCATACGTTTCAGGCATCTGGTACTATGGCCGTGCGATCTAATAACCAATGGAAAGAAAACGCTTTCGTATTCAATTTTCCACGCAAGGGGTGCTCGGTCATTCGAGAGCAATTCCCTGACATGTATCGCTTTTTCGCGGAGGCGACCGGGGCGCCGGTGGCGGACAAGACGGCTCCTTGTGTGTTACCTAAGGTAGGTGCTCCAAGTACTTTGGATGACAAAGTAAACAAGTGATCCAGGAAGCGGGAGAAGGGGTTCACTGCGACAAAAAACTACAGAGGATCCTGTTAATTTTTTCACAGCGTCGCTGCCAATGCCACATCGGGGTGGCATGGTCAAGGCCTCATAGGTCACCGTTGGGTCCACGAGGACGTCGACGGGCACCTCACAGGGTCCCCGATGACGATGCGAGCATTTTAGACCTAGGTTCCGACCATTCGTTGAAAAGGTCTCGCCAAGATCTACTCGAACGGTGACCTGGTGACCTATGAGGCTTTGACCATGCCGTCCCGATGATGTGGCATTGGCCGCTCGGACAACAGAGAGGTGAACACAAAAAACAACAGTGAGCTCCGTCTTTTAAAAGACAGAGATCACTGTAGTTTTGGGTACAGAGCGACCCTGTGAAAAAACTAACAGGATTCTCTGTAGTTTTTTCTCGCAGTGTTGAGTCGAGTTGATTCAGCGACCTCTTCACGGCAAAAACGGTACCTGGTTTTCCCAGGAGCCCTATGGCGAAGACAGGCGATTTCCAGGGTGTTCCTGGGAAAACCACACTGAGAAAACAAACGCGGCCAATTCCGCACGTGTGGTGCGGACAGGGACTTTGACCACGTTTGGTGACGCGGCCGAGGTCAGTCTCGTCGCCGCATTACCAAACGCGGAATCCGCCACGTTTGCGCCATGTTAAAGGATAGGGCCTCGATAAGCTTGACCACGTTTGCGCTCCGAATTGCGATGACCGCATCACGAAACGTGTTCAAATCTTAACAAAATTTGACCACACCACCTCGTGCGGAATTGGCCACGTTTGTTTTCTCAGTGCAGGAACCGCTTTTACCGTGTTATCAGTCTATCAAGTAAACACGAGCGAAAATTTGGTCCAAAAATAAGTGTGGTGAGACAAGTCCCATCCTCTTGCATCTTGTTTTAGATGACATTCCCCACCTGTTCTCCCACCTGCAAGGTTTAGGCTTTGCAAATGTGCACGGTTTCAGCTCGACTTACCCCCTTCTTCCGCTTCCTGGATCAAAAGTTAATCACGATTATCGTATTTGGAAAGTAAGCCACGCTTTCAGCCCGTTCACGCCGGTCCGACATTTTTGACGCATGGTGTTGTTGGTCTCATGGCAAGTCAGAATGTGCATGTGCCGGCATGTGCCCATGTAGTTCTGACGTATGGTTTGGTTTTTAGCTCCTTTGGCTCATAGGCTTTTCCACCCCAAATCTCCTGCACCATTTGGCGCTGGTTTGAAAACATTATTTCCTTTGCAGTATTTGTTTTGCTTGGAGTTTATTCCAAAAGTAGGCGTCCGCATGCATGTCCATGACATTTTCCGGTCCAAATTTTACGTCCTGTTTCCCTTTCTTCTTAGTCACGTTTTGAGACGAGAGTGAAAAAAGACTTTTGTTAGACCTCAGGCCCTTTTCAGTTCCGATTTAGTCCTATTCCCTCACCAGATAGGGTAAAAATCATTGCCAAATTCGGCCATGTCGGGTTTCTGATTAAGGAATCGTTCGCACATCAGTTGAGCACTGCGATACGTGCAAACTAGTTCGCAAAATCGTTGCTGTTCAGCAGCTTTCAATCGCGCTTCAAAAACGGAGTACCCGGCGGAATAACGGAGGCAACGCGACCCTTTTTAAACAGTCTCTTTTTCACTCGACTCGGGTAGGATTCACAATTTTTGTGCTAATCGTTGATGAAGTTCTAATACAAACAGTGCTAACTTACATATCAAACCCTCCAATCTTCGAGGCCTGCATGAGGGTAAGCGCTCCCCTAAGTACCGTAAACCGGGGTAACTTGAGACAGCAAGGGTAACTTGAGACACTTCTGCTTTTCCACCTTTTTGGAGCTGCCACCAGGCTCGGCACATTCGGAGGTCAAAACTGCCCTAGCACTTTTTTTTCATACTTGTTTGGAAAGACGATTAAGCCTTTGAACGGCGGGTTAGGACCAAGCTGGTCAGTTCTTTAACGATTTTTCAATTTTAGTAAATTTAGCAATTTTAGAGAAGTGTCACAAGTCTCCCATCATTTCAAAATTATAACTCTAGCATTAGTTTTAGGGGAAACCCATCATTCATCGGGTAATACTGACTTTTATAGAAACTGGTAACTGTGCGGGGTAACCTGAGACACCAAATTTCGTTGAATTTGACGGAAGTTGAGTGGCGTAACTTGACACTGGCACCTTCTTGTACTACAGGGTGGTTTAAAGTAACGGACCTCTCCGTTCTAAGATCAAAACCAAGCCGCATTTGATCGGGAATCACTTTTTCAAACAGTGTAGAGGGTCCCAAGTTAATGTGCACCTTTAAGTTGGAGTGTTTTCTCAACTACACACGAACCAGATAAGGCATAATAAATCTCGAAGTCTCAAAAGATGGGGAAGTTAATAACCTTTCCAACGAGCTAAATGTCATTGAAATCGGACAACTTTTAGCCCGAGAACCGTCGATTTTTTGAAGAAAAACAACTGTAAAAATAGTTCAAGGATTTTGAGTAAATTTTAAAAATTGACTAAGACCTTAGCAGGAATGGACATGTGTACGTAGAAATAAAGAAAAATGTCTTAACAGGTGTCAGGGTTGGATGTGAAATGAGAGAATCGCTGTACTTAGTTGACAGGGTTGGATGTAAAATGAGAGACTCGTTGCGCTTCTAAAAAGCCGTTATCCCTCAAATTACCAAATGTAACTTTGATGAAAAAATCTTAATATAAGGATCAAAAATCTTCTAATATATTCCACAAGTAGTACTTTTCATTGAAAATAGGTTAAATGTCTCAGAAAATCAGTATGGACTGGCAAAAACCCCACTTCCGTAAAAAAAGCAAAGTAAAAACTAGGTGTGTCTCACGTTACCCCAAATGACGGGGTAACTTGAGACAACTTTAGAGGCCTATTACTCTCATCTTAGGTGACCCCCAAAAAATTCATGGGGTCCAAACCGATTGTTATCATGTGAAATTGAACATAGTTGGTATTCGGGTTGGTGATAGAAGTGTTGTGGACACACGGTCCAAAAAACGTGAAATATTGTCTCATGTTACCCCGGTTTACGGAATGAAAATTTTCTACTAGTTTCTCTTTTTGCAGGGAACCTTCGTTGTACCAGAGCCTCGCCCGGTGAACGCGACGTTACCCAACATTCCGATTCTGCCATACGGGCGCTACTGGTATCGGGGGACGTTAAGTCGAACGAGGAACAGCCCCAGTCCACTTGCATGCGTAGAGTTCGACTGCGAAGTTATTCCGAAACCATGAGCTGTTTTTCACTAGAGAGCTGAAGGGTGCATTTCGTCACACATTTAGTTGCAAATACTATTCACTAAATTATTGGAGGAGAGGGATTCTTTTGAGCAGCTACAGCAGAACCAAATAGACACCCCAATGTAATAAGCATCGCGATCCATCTCAAGGTTCCAGCGCTACGTCACTTTTGCAAAATTTTGAACATCTATCACTGAAGGATATTGCGGAACAGACTCGGCCTTGTACAAGTCTTCGGCAGTCGCCGCGGCACGCACTGTGCGAAAAAACCACAGTGAATCCCGTTAAGGGGGGGGGGGGGGGGTAAAGTGAAGAAAATCGATTTTCGGTTTTTGCTTTTTTTCGACTCTTTGGGCCTTGGTACAACCAAACCTGACCATATTTCGACCCACAGCACCGTCAAATCGGCATAGGGAGCTTCTAATTCGTACAATCACTGTGAGGTTAGGTTAGGCCCTTTAACTTTAAACCGGTTTTCCTCGGTATCTTTTTTTTTTGACCTTGCGCGCAGGATATCTCGGAGACCGTAAGAGGTAGAATGTTGTGCGACAGCTTAAAATGATCAGTGTTCAAATAGCTAGAAGACAAGGGAGAGTTTTTTTCAAAATTTTGTCCCAATCTTTAGTTACAGGTCAATGAATGTCCAAAAGCGGCATAAAAACAGTCATGATTCTAGTTTTTAAGATTCATAGCGAAAGAAAACATGTTTTTGAAATCCGGCTCCCTTGTCTTCTTCATTTTGACCTTAAAAAGATGTGGCAACTTCGTCAGATTTTTGGGACAACATTTGGAATTGAAATCCTGCGCGCAAGGATTAAAACCCAAATATGGACCAAATGTAAAATGTTTGCGAAAATTCAAAAGTGCCACCAGACCCCAACCAAAGATGGTAAAATGGTATAAAGGCATGGAGAATCCAATGGTGATGTCCATTTCATGTCAGGGTGACCAATATCTAAGAATAGAAGGCTGGAAACATGAAAAAATTCGAAATTTCGCTTTACCCCCCCCCTTAATTTTTTTGCCGGGATTTACTCACTGATACTTTGACAGAGTGACGAAAGTCCAAAATTTTGATAAATGAGATTTTTGGATGCGTTCTAAAACCCTTTTGATTCCTGTCACTGGTGAAAAGCATGTCGATCTCTCTAAAGATTCAGCGTAGGAAAATACTTCAAATGACGAAAGTCCACTGTACTTTGACAAATGACGAAAGTCCAGCCGTACTTTGACAAAATGACGAAAGTCCAACTGTACTTTGACAAATGACGAAAGTCCAGCCGTTCTTTGACAAAACGACGAAAGTCCAACCGTACTTTGACATATGACGAAAGTCCATCTGCAAACCGGTCGTAGTTAACTATTGCTTTCCAATTAAGATAATTATTCATGAGTTCAGTGACGGCATAAACATGCTAGAGTTCAAAAGTTCATTTAATTTTGTAGCAGTAAAGGTGGACTTTCGCCATATTGCAAATTTCGTATGGCTTTCGTCGTTTTTTCAGAATGTACAGAGTGAGGTGGACTTACAATTCGTTTGCAAAGGATACGGTTGGGTACTTTCGTCGTTTTGACCCATCTTATGCGTAAGTCGACAAATGCGAATGTCCTTTCTCGGAACATAGCTGAAACACTGATTGCAATGGCTCCTTGTCACCTTAAGTGCAAAACTATGCCTATTCTGATTGGGATTCTATTGAAACTCACAGCAAATCCCAAAACCAATTTGCAGCGTCAAATTTCAGGCTACGACTTGCAAATTTTGAACATCTACCTGAAGAATGGAACAGATGTGGTACTTTTCGGGTCCACTATGTCGAAAAAAGTAATCCGTATTTGCCCATTACTGTAGTTCAGAACACAGGATTTACCGTGCCTGGCTACAGTATCTACTGTACCTGGTACAGGATATTCCGTACTCCACTCCTGTGGTACAGTAAATCCCGTACAAAGTACAGTAGATCCTGTTAAAAAAGTACAGTAAATCCTGTACTCTGAACTACAGTGACAGCTGTACTAATCACTACAGGATTTACCGTGTTTTTTTCCACAGTGCAGGGCTTGACCAAGGCTGCCCGAGCAGCCTCAGTTAAGAGGAAAGCGCAGAGGGTGGCCAACAACTTCATGGTGCAGTATGTGCCCAAGACGTCCGACGACGCAACATATAAATGGTGGCGCTCGCGTCTCGCCTAGATCGCGATTTTCCACTTAATGCGCATATCAGCTTCTCACCTGAGAGAGGCTCTCCTTGAGCGCAGAGTTTCAAGAATCTAAACACTTCAACTAACAGTCTGGCGCGCGTGAGAGCTGTGATCAGGCTTCTGGCAGGAAATCGGTTGTCCACGACAAAAGGTGTTACGCCATACCGCGTCGATGTCTGTGGCAACAGGCCTCGCGATGCAGCGCCAGTTCTGGCAATCCAAGCATGGTGAGTGGACATTCAGGGATCCGTGACTTATCTCGGACGAGGGGGTAAACACTCCGGTGAACCTTGTACAGACTACTTCCTATTACGGGGTATGACACTTGTATTACGCATGTATTACGCCTCAATTTCATTGAAAAATGACATTTTTTGATACTTTTGGTCCCAAAATGTATTACTATTACGCGTGTTACTGCGTAATACCCGACTTTTGTGAACAGGGTATTACGCAAGTGTTTACCCCCTCGATCTCGGAGGGGCATCGTAACGTTATCGTAAGCGGTGAAGTTATAACCCGTAACCCGAGTACTTGCGAAAGCCCATCCCCTCAACCTTTAACAAATAAAGTCTTTGTCACGTTATGAAAACATGTAAGTAGAGGCAAACAAAAGTTGAGTTATAGATCCCTGGACATACCTTGGGTCTGCGAGGCTGGGTTGTCTTTGGCAGGCCCTTTGCCTACCATCGGATAAAGAAGCGCATTGTTCGTACGTCGAGAAAGCATTTGTTGCACGGAGTACGGAGACATACTGAATTTCACCCTCAGTCAAGTTCAACCAGTTATTCTTCCAAGTAATGGAGCACGGTTCTATTTTGGGTCAAAGCCGTGATTTGGTCCGGAAAAATTGGACTTCTGACCTGAATAGAGTATTCAATGCTCTTCCAGAACGGAAGTGATAGATGGGTTTTTGATGAGTTTTGATGAGAAATTTACGCGGCGAAGTTCGTCCGCCGTGTAGATTTCGCATATTAACTGCCATTTTTGACTGCTGTTGTCATTCTTGTCACTTCCGTTTTGGGAGGGCGTTGGAATACCCTATTCAGGTAGCGGAGTGGGGAGCGTCCTTGAGCTGGCAGAGAGCCGCCTGTAATTGATTTCATACCCATCTTGAAATCCATTATCAGGGCCGAAAATACGTCGAATTTTTGAAGAAAAGTATGGTCATATTTCCTTATCGTACAAAATTTTGGTAATGAAATTTGATTAATTTTTCGTTACCTCCTCATGCCTTCTCTACTCACTTCAACATTACAGAGAAATCTGTTAACATCTTGTGATTTATTCGTACCCAGAATTCAACATTTCTCGTAGGCTTCACTACAAACCTAACTGTCTCCTAAGTACACACTTACAAATGCATTCTTGTAAGTACACACTTACAAAATGCATGCTTGCAAGTACACACCTACAAACGCATGCTTGACGCCGTATAACTCCATGCGTCAAGCATGCGTTTGCAAGTGTGAACTTGCAAGCATGCATTTGTAAGTGTGTTCTTGGCAAAGCATGCGTTTTTAAGTGTGTACTTAGTAGACAGTTAGGTCTGCAGTGTTCTCGTCAGTCTTCTCTTGTTGGTCTGCAACGGGTATGCGTAGAATAATTGGAGTCGTAGGGAGAACACTGCAAGTCTACGGAAAATGTTGGGTTTGGGCCACAGAAAATCATGACTAAACTTAATAGATGTTTTTATAGTATTTTGCCGCAGTGCCTTACTGACTCTCGGCATATACCCTTTCCTAATTCGAGCTGCGTTGGGCAGTCTGAAAACATCTTACGTTTGTTGGGCAACACGAAGAGGAGAGGCTACTCTCCATGCTCATATCCTAATCCGATTTGTGCCCACAGCTGCTGGCCCTGCCGGACAACGCGTTGGTGCGCGTGTTGGCCCTCCTGCTGCCCAGAGAGTTCTTCAGCCTCCGCCTCCGATTGGTGTGTCGGCGGCTCCGGGACCTTTGCCTCCACCCAAACGTTTGGCGCTCCATTCGCCTCCGTGGCGGTCACAAAGGCCTTCTGAAAGCCACGCTGAGACTTGCCCCCTGCCTCCACAAAATCTATCTGCCCTCGTCGAATCTTCAGGCTGCGGCCTGTGCCATTTCCAACACTAAGTGCGTCGTCACTAAACTCGCGCTGGCCGTTCAAACTGAGTTCGAAGCTGCCTGGGCCACCGCCATGGTTCTGAAGTTCTCCACTCTGGCCGGCTTCAGGAAGATCTCCCCAGATCTGTTCCGTGGCGCCACCGATGCTTTGCCTCCCCTTCTGCGGATGGTTAACAGCGTTCAAGACCTGCGCGTGTTGCGTGTGTGGGGCTACTCAGACGCAGAGCTACCGCCATCTCTATGGTCAGATCTGGAGCCGAGACCTTCCCTAACTAAGCTTAAGTACGAATATGCCCCTTCTCCTTTCCTTTGTCTGTTACTGGAGACCCACGCGGCCACACTTGAAGAGGTCGTTCTGTTCGTGGATGAGCTCCCCACATCTCGCTTGGGAATGATGCCTAGGTTACGCTCCCTGACTTGTCGCCCATCCGGTGACCTGTCTCAGCTGAAAAAATTATCCAGCCTGGAAACACTTGAGCTCTATGGGTTTCCAGAGAAAAACATGTGTTTTCCTGGTGCGGAGGAGTTCCTCCTACAGGGCCCCAGCTTGCGATCTGTGTCATTCGACTCCGAATCGTACTGCCGGGTTCCCAGCTCTTCTCTCCTGAGGGCTTTGGCCAAATCGCCGTCCACCCCCGTTCTGGAAAGGCTGTCCTTACGATGCGTGGAGGACTTGCCTGTGGCCGCGGCACTTCAGCGGTTCTCATCCGCGAAAACTGTCACCACGATGGCACAGGTGATCCAGCGCAACAAACACCATTTTGTAACTCGGCTGCCTCGTTTTGAACCTCCGGCCGGCCATGGCGTTCGGACCCACCGTCATTACATCGGTCGCTGTGTGTCAATGAAGCGCCTCTTGCTCAAGTAGTCCGTCGCGCAGGAGATCGCCTGCCGGCTAGGCAACCCAACGTGCTCCTCCGAGTGGCAAGCACGATGAGTTGCCTATCCGCACGGCGCTCGCAGCCGGTGGCCGCAGAAGCACAGAGAAAGTCGCTCTACACTGCACGAATGAGCGAGAGCACATTTTGTAAAGAGATGTACTCCTGACTGTGAACTCTCTGAATATTACGCCACCATCAAATAAAGGATAACAGGATCATATTTAATTGTTCACACATGAATGTTCTCAACCATTTAATTATACCGAGTACATATAAGTCCGTTACGATGATACACTACAACTGTCAAACGATGAAACTCAAACTTTAGGAAATGAACAAATTCATGTAGGGGTACACTCTAAATGTAGAGTGCCCAGTAACTGGGCGCCTTTGTCGCCCGCCCCACTTTTTAGGGTGCCAAATGTCGCCCAGTTTCTGGGCACCTTTGTCGCCCAGTCTCGAGGTGGACAAACCATTAAGGAACCTGCCTCCACCCATGGACCAGCAGCGGTCCAAAGGTGTCCAGAATCTAGGCACCTCAGTCGCCCAGGAACTAGACACCTGAACATGTTCTACCCTGGGAGAGGGCCGGTTACTGTATGATTTGTCCACCCCGAGACTGGGCGACAAAGGTGCCCAGAAACTGGGCGACATTTGGCACCCTAAAAAGTGGGGCGGGCGACAAAGGCGCCCAGTTACTGGGCACCCTACATTTAGAGTGTAGCCGAGGGACACTTCATCACGCCTCGCGCAGGGGCTTTCGGCAGCGTCTTCGGATGGAGGTGGATCGATCGGGATTGATGCACTTCGCCGTAGTCCTTGCTCCGCTCGCTCAGTCACCCAGGCCGAACGGGCTTGCCCCGTTGGTCGTCAGGAAGTATGAGCCATGCTGACTGTGGGGGTGAGAAGTCACTAAAATTAGTTGCCATGAAGCACATTGTCATTGAAGTTGTGATACAGTAGAATGAAAGGCGATCGGAAAAGGCACCGCACATAACAGTTATGAACTCTAAAGGAAGTCAGTACTTAATTGCATCGTTTTTGCTGTTGTTGCAAGATATATGGTGACTGCACACAAGGAAATCTAAAATTTACCCGTTGCGATTCTCTCTCTCCCCCCCCCAAAAAAAGACTTCAATGAAGCCTTGTTAATAAAATTGTGTTTGATCCCTGCCTAGGGATAAAAAATAAAAATACATGGGGACACTCTGGGCTGTGAATAGAAGAACATGAGAGAAAGCCTTTAGGTCATTGGTGGAAACTGTAAATCGTAGATTGCAGTTATTTTGAACTGTGTGAATTTCTCCACACATTTTTTTTCGTGCCTCTGAATGCATAGCTCAATCATGCTCTTGTACATCATGCAAATTAGTATTTTTCTGGCGATCACAAGCAGAAGATCGAGTAAAAAACACTCAAAGCTACACTTTTCTGAGCGAAAATTTGCACGATGAATACCTACACATTCAGTGCATCCACTGAACGGCTAAATGCCTGAGGAATTTTCGTCCATAACTTTTGTCATATTTGTGCACATGCAAGCTATTTTAAAATTTGTACATACATTAGAAACAATTTTATAAATACTTAAGCGCAATATGGAAAAATTGTCCCTAGTTTAATTGTACCTGGCTTTGCACAAATATGGCATCAATAGTTACGGATAATAAAAGTAGAGTTCGGTGCTTGCCTGTAGCTGAGGTGTTCGCCCATGGTCGCCTCCACGCCACTGTCGGGGCAGCGCTGGTGCAGGGCAGCCCACTCGTCGTCGCACCGCCACCCCTTGAACGCGTCGGGGCTGTTGATGGACTCGGCGAACAGACGCACCGCGCGCTCGTGCGAACAAGACCCTGGAAACCGAAGAGAGGTGTTCACATCGTGGTACGTGCTCTAAAAAAAGGTCTACACTCTCAGAGCCATATTGACTTTTTGTTCATAGCAGCAGCAACATTTCCTAAGTAGCATATGAATTTTTTTACGCAACAATAATACTTAGAAATTTGTTCATATGCCACGAATAAAAAGTCCATGGTATATGTACAATTCCATAGACAATATTGTTAGTACATTACTAACAAATTTGTTGATAAAATTGTTGATAAATTTGTTGATAAATTTGTTGATAAAAATTTACCAGAATAACCACTGACAAAACTTTTGTCGTTACTAAACGACACTTTTAATGCTAATTTTTTCAGCGACAACATTTATTTTGGAACGGATAGCTTGTTGGACCACTTGTTAGTCAGCGACAAATATTGATCATGTACATAGAATTTTATTTGTATGTACTGACTTTATTTATTAGTTACTACTGACTCCGTTTCTTTCTTACTATTGACAAAATCTCTTAGTAGGCACTAACAAATTAGTCCCAGAAGGCCTCCATACTTCTTTTAAATAACTAGTGACAGATTTTTTAGTAAGGCTAACATACAAAATGTCAATACGTTACACATAGATTTTTATCAGTGAGATACCTAAAAAATTGTTCATAAATCACATAGAAATAATTTTTAAATAAAAGTACAGACAAAAATGTCAGTATGGCTCTGAGAGTGTATGGAGCATCGCTCAGTAACACGAAGAAAACTAAGGCACTGTACTGTACAACCTTACGAAGTATTTTGAGTACACATGATACGAACTAATTTTCTTTGTTGTACGAAGAAATAGTTCGTAAATTTTGGAAGCTTATGTACGGGTAATGTCCGATTTTTGGGTAATGTCGACATTACCCGGGTAATGTCCGGCGGATCGGAGACTAAGGGAAGGTGGGGCACAATGGGACACTTTTCTTTAAATTGACGTACCCAACTGAATATTTGACTTAGAATGCCCCAAACCGTCATCAACGATAGTAAATCACGTACTCTTTAAAGTGGTGGGATGTGTACTGTTGTTTTTTAAGGTTACTGTAAGGTGAAAAAACTATCTTCCAGAGTATAGGTGGCAGTGCTTTGGTTTTTGGTGATTTAGTTGCTTACTATGAAAAACTTTTACAGCCACAGACTGGACTCCCAACTCCCATTAGTTCCAAAGTTATGAGGGTTTTAGTGTTATTTTAGCCGTTTACTAAAAATTCTCCTTGCGATGAACCAAAAAGTTTACGGAGGTGTGATTTTTTATTTTAAGGCCCAATGGACATGCAAACAGACTAGCAAAGCCGGATTTCACAATATATGCATAGATAAGCTGTAATTTCTATTTGGAAAATGCGTTTTGAATTTTTTACTTAAATATGGTAAAATTTTGCTAATTTTTGGTGTTTTTTTGTGTTTTTTGAGAAAAATTCCTGTTTAATGTTGGAATTTTGGAAAGCCGGCTTTGCTACGAGATAGGCAAATCAATAAAGAACTTGTAAAACAAAAATCAAGTCTCGACAACTTTTGGTTCATCGCAAGGAGAATTTTTAGTTAACGACTAAATTTGTTACGTAAACTTCAATAACTCAGAAAATAATGGGAGTTGAGTGCCTCAACTTTGGGCTTAAGTTTATCTTATAGGAAGCAACCTGAAACCTAAATACAAACATGATGCCACAATTATTTTGAAAAATGATATTTCACATTTTTTCACTTTACAGTAACCTTAATGTCATCAGGTACATTTCTTCATTTTCCCAAAACATTGCACTTGTCCCATTGTGCCCCGGTCTGGGGCACAACGGGACACCCCCTGGGGTAGGATGGGACACTGCGTTTTTTCATCGAAAAGATAGGTTTTAAGAGCTCTAAACACCGACAGGTGCAAAGTCCAATGTTTATTGACTCTTAAGACAAACTTGTGGAAGTATTTTGAGTAGCACATATACGGAAAACGCATCATACCCGATGAGTGCTGTCAACATGGAAGAAGACCTTAAATTAAACCAAGATAAAACTGCCTTCACTTGCACATTTTGCTCTGAAGTAAAAACGCAACACGGAGACATATCAATAGTGAAGTACTCGATGTATTTTGAAAAAGTTTTGTTTACGAAGGGGTTGGGGCATAATAAGACAGTAAGTGGGCTGTCCCATTGAGCCCCAACCGGGTCTGTCCCATTGTGTACCGAACGACACATCCGACCAGCCGCGGTCTAGCAGCATGACCACTCATCCGACAGCGTTGGCGACACGGGTCACAGACGCGCAAAGGGTCAAGGGACAGGCCCCTGTTTCAAAATCTCATCTACCTTCATTATCTTCCGAGCTACAGGTAATAATAAATCGAGTGCTGGTGCTGGTTTTACCTTGATTTTAGTGTTTGTAAACTTCGTAGCTACCTGCCCTGGCGGGAGAAGGTCGATCGGGGTCAACTCCTTGTGTCAACTTATCTGCTACTCATAGGCTATCTCACCTCGTGATTGGGAGATCCCACGGCAACCGGAAGACGGCAAATTTGAAAGTGTCCCATTGTGCCCCGTGTCCCATTGTGCCCCACCTTCCCTTACCCAGAGGGCACTGGTTAATGTCCGTCCGTCGGACTCTACCCGGCGTGATTGGACATTACCCAAGGGTGACTGGGTAATGCCGGACCGTCACAGCAGTCTGACGTTACCCAAGCTCATGCCCTAGGGTAATGTCCGAAGTGGCCATTGTTGGCGGGAGGTGTTTGCGTGGCCTCGGCAACCGGGCAAACACTTGCACACATTGTCGTTGCACACTTGCAAAATGTCGTCCGACGAGCAATTTGAAGGTACAGCCGATGCAGCTGAGACGAATGAAGATGAAGGGAAGGCGCTAGAGAGGCAGAGGGCCAAGGCGCGCATGAAGGAGAAATTTGACAGTAAATTAGCAGCTCTCCTGGGCCTAAAACGGAAGGATAACACGGCCATACTTAACCAAGAGCGGTACGACCAGATTATAAGAGAGGTAAAGGCTGCCCAAGATAAGAAGAAGGGCATTACAGCGCTCGACCGTAGGCGGCTCAAGAAGTACGCCATCTTCGTGTCCGAAGGGAAGGAGAGGCTGGTCGAGCCATGCGACGACCCAAGCAAAATGAGGTACTATATACCAGTCGAGCAAATGTTTGATGCAATTTATGAGGCTCACATCGCTTCGGGTCACGGTGGAAAGCATCGCCTAGACCAGCAAGTGAAGAAAATGTAAGTTTATTCAGTGTAAGTGTCATTAACTAGCATCGTCCCAAGTCCAATTGTTGTGTCTTTTAAGGTACTGCAACGTGACTCAAGAGGCGCAGAAAACATTCCTGCCACTGTGCGAGGAGTGCATTCTGAAGCAGAGGGCACAGAAAAAGGGAATTGTCCTGACGCCAATACAGCCAACACACAGATGAACAGTCGCTGTCAGGTGGACCTGATTGACATGCAATCGAAACCGGACGGCGACTACCGGCACATAATGGTTTCCCAGGACCATTTGACAAAATTTTGTGTGTTAAGAGCCCTGAAAAAGAAGGAAGCGGCGGAAGTCGTTGAGCATGTTCTGGACATTTTTTGTCTTCTGGGGGCGCCGTTTATCCTCCAGTCCGATAACGGCCGTGAATTTGCCAATTCCCTTAAGGGAATTCACAATTGTGAATGGCCTCCGTGACCGGTGGCCAACTCTTAAGATAGTCCACGGGTCGCCACGCCACAGCCAGTCCCAGGGGTCGGTGGAGAGGGCTAATCAGGACGTGGAGAAGATGCTCAACACGCACCTGCGCACCACAGGCAAAACTGCATGGGCAAAGGAGCTCAGATTCGTGCAGCATACAAAGAACAATGCCCTGCATTCGGGGATTAAGATGTCCCCATACAAAGCCATGTTTGGCATGGACATGCGGGTCGGAATGCTGAGCTCCTACCCCAGGGACCTAGTGGAGGACTTACGCACCGAGGAAGATTTCCGCGCCATGCTGGAACAGTCCGAAGGAAGGCGTCCTGAGACCCCAGACTCATCCCCTGACTCCCCTGACCCCAACATACCCAGCCCTACACCGTTTGTAAGTTTAGCATTAGTCACACAGTCAAAACCTTATAATGAAAAAGTCAGCAACCCACCCTACCCGGGTAATGTGCGACGCGTCGGACTCTACCCACGGCCCGTGGATAATGTCGAATCCGCCGGACATTACCCGGGTAATGTCGACATTACCCAAAGTCGGACCTTACCCTTAACATATGCTCAAAATATTTCGTTACAACAAGCTGCTTTTCTCTGCAAAGCCCACAATAGTTTGTAAGGTTTCCTCAGTGTACAAAATGAAGCAAAATCAAAATTCATCGTAAGACTCCCTTGAGAAGCAAATCTGCAATGCCTTCGTATTCATCGCAGTTAGGAAGGAGATGCCTGGTAGACTTTTTGAGTGTGCAGTAGGAATTCAGAGATGCATTTTCAAACAAATACCCTGGAACAAATCAGTTGCGAAAAGAAGCCACACACAAATACGCGTCTGAAATTTTGCCAAGTGTACACTCCAAATCCAGTGGCAAGTTTCCTCGCCACTGGAGTGGCGTCTTTTCCAAAGCGCCAAAATTTGGCGTTGTCATCCCTGGTTTCCGGATTCCATGCCAAATTTTGGCGTTCCACAGAGAGCGCCAAAATTTGGCGTTCCATTCCCCAGAGCACCACAGACCAGAACGCCAAAAATTGGCGCTGCAAAAGAAATGCAATAATTTGGGTTGGAAAGCGATACCCATTCACAGAAAAATAAATGTGCATACAATAGTTTTCAGTGCTTAGGATCCCCAGTTCAAATCACAGCAATTATACTATGAAAAGTAGAACTGGACCAGTAAAATACAAGACCTGCATTTGTATTTTCAGGTTACGTGTCAATGCCGCTGACCAACTATTGAATCACTTCGGTTTGGCCAGCGATTCCTGAGACACTTGGAAAATGGTACTCACATCAACACAAAAAG